GTGATAACACTGTAAAGATGCGATACTAATTACTAATACCCTTAAATGAACGTCTTCTTTTCTGTATGTTACTGAACCACCCCGACCCGGTTGATATATTACTACTCCATTTGATCTTTATTGGTTTGGTAATTGCAAGCTCGACTCATACATACAGGGTGTTAAAAAAACGCAACCCAAAGAAATTGCTATATCTTGGAAAATACTTATCCAATTATGTTCATATTTTCTGGAAAGAAAGAAGAAACTGTGTACGTATAGCCCATGTTGTTAGTTTGTTGTAAAACATATATGATGTCTTGAACATTTGTTCAAAAGACAGTTGAACTAGCAAAATACGAAAAACGCGAATGGAAAATCACTATATCTTGAAAAATACTAATTCAATTATGTTCATTTTTTCAGGAAAAGAAAGAAGAGACTATGTCCTGTTGTCAGTAAGTTGTAAAACATGATACCTTAGACACCTCCTCAAATGACAGTTGTACTAGGAAAATATGAAAATGCAGTCAGAGGTGACTGCCACGGCAATAAAACCTAATTTCTTTCTAACCATGGTGTTTTGGCACTTCAGATTTGGCACAAATTATCCTCATTCAATGTGTGGTGAATTTGTGGAGTTTTATCAAAATCACTCCAGGGTCAAAATGCTCACTCCATGGTCAAAATGCATTTTTAAGTCTCCCTGAACCAGGGCGTTTGACTGCGATTTGAAAGCATTTCAACCATGACTGTAAAGTCCCTGAAGTGATTTTGATTTCACTCTACAGATTAACCATACAGTGAATGAAGATGATTTGTGCCAAATTTGAAGAGCCAAAACACTATGGTTAGGAAGTTATTTAATTTTTTTCGGTTGCAGTCACCCCTGACTGCGTTTTTCGGATTTTCCTAGTACAACTGTCTTTTGAGCAAGTGTCCAAGGCATCATGTTTTACAACTAACTATTTACAGGAGCTATACATACACAGTCTTTTCTTTATTTCCTGAAAATATGAACATAATTGAACCAGTATTTTTCAAGATATAGCGATTTCTTTGGGTTGCGTTTTTTTGAACACCCTGTATTTACTGAAATTTATTTTTTTCATATTGATCCAATAATTCCTGAAATGGGGCACGGTAGGCCGCGCTTGTGACGATTAAGTGCGTTTATCTAGAACCCACCCCTGGAAAGTGAGGCATTCACCAATTGATTCAACATACTCACATTACACACTAAAAGCTTCTCTAGGAAGTCTTCGAACGCAAGTTCTGCCATTGAACTGATGAAGAAGATATCGACTCTTAAAATGTAGATCAAAAGGCGCCATTAACCCACTGAAAGGGGAGTCATTCACTAACTGCGTAAACATACCCAATTTGTCACAGTGAAAATCGTATATAATTCTAAAGATTTCCTTTCTCAAGGAAGTCTTCGAACGCCAGTTCCGCCATTAAAAATGTAGACAACAGCGCGCAATTAACCTTTAGTAAATGAAACAAGTACCGATGCACTTATTGGAAAGGTCTTTACTAAGATTACTAAATTCCATTATTGTTTATTTTCAAGGAGGGAGAACATGGGTGCGTAAAGGACAACATTGAGTAATTTTTAAATTCATTATATGTTTTTACAATAAATAAATGCACTTTTGTTTCTAATGAATATACAATGGGCGCAAGACGTTGATTAATTTTTGTTGTTGTTAGAGAATGTTTTTCTATTATTTTGCATTTTGAATGTTTTCATTGGAAGATCCATCACCAAGCAATAGGATCTTCGTATTTCGTTCAAAAGATGTCATTTGATTTTGGCAAAATCCCAAATTCTACCAAGTTTGTTTTTCCGAAGAGAATATACCTTTTCAGTAAATCCTGCCACCTTTTGATATATTGGCTAGATTGATGATGTCATAGGTTGTTAATTTTCAAAATTAGCAATTCGATCAGTTAATCCTATTTTTGCTTGCACAGACTGCTACCATTAATCAATGACATCATCAATCTAGCCAATTTTCATACTTATTTTTCGATCGCTTTGTTCAATCAAATCTCCAAGTATCATAAACAATTCATTCAACTCTTATTAAACTTTATATATCTGCTATTTTTATCCTTGTGAAAACAACGTGTGAAAAGAGGGTATATATTCTGTTCGTAAGGTCATGTGATTAGTTGACTAGTCGCCATAAGAGGAGGGAAAGTCCCAGAGTTTAAAGATGACAGACATAATTACCTCTCTTGCTTACCACCTTCGTTCGTTCGAATTTTCATCGGCTAGTTATCAAAAACTACACTTCGATGGGATGTTTTAATTGACATAGGCATATTCCGTACACCTTGCTTTATCTTGTTGTGAAATGAGAAGCTATGATATTGGTTAACACGCCAGAAATGAACATAATATTATTCGAAGCGTATTTCGAAAATTTTGAAACCGCCATTGATGACGTCACTTGTTTGTCGACTTTTGACCAATCAGCGACAATGCCATCTCAATACAGATTAACATTATAAGCGTATTTCATCTTTGAACCCTGGTGTTTCTCCCCCTCTGAGTCGCCATATTGAAGAAAAACATCGATAAAACAACGGAATAAAAGTGCTCATCTCCAGAGTACATTTAAGAGTTTACTTAAAAACCCACAAATGACTGATCATGAGCAGTTGACCAAAGAAGACACGTCACTATTATAGCTAGGTCAATCGGTTCAGTGTCCGAAAGCAAATCTATGTACTCATTTCAGAACTTTTTTTGTTGATTATACAAGCTTTTATTGATTATACTCGGTATACTGACCGTTATATTTCCGACGGTGTCATGGTGTTACCGTTCGGTTGTAAAAATAAAAGTGTGTAATTAGTTTGATTCAGTACTTTCGGGAACACGCAAATAGCGCAATCCGAAAAATTTGAATTAATACTTTGATCACTTCTTGGTTGTTTTAAACTTTTTTTATTTGGTAATAAGACTTAAACTCACAATCAAAATCTGAAGTGAAAAAATGGCGGTGATTCAATCTTTTTATAATCACGACACAGAAATCAAAACATTGCTCCATGTGCTTGTTATCACACGTGGAAGTTAGAAGGTCATGTTGATCGGCTGATCATGGTGAAGGGTGTGTCAGAACGGACAAATCAATGCTGGCGGCAAGGGGGACTTGCAACCAATGTTCAAATCGATTTTCCATTGCCTGGCATGAAACAATTTGTGAACAAAATTTCAGTAAGTTGAAAACTCACCGGTGAAGAAGTATGATTATTACCGATTATACTCGTACATTATAAAAATAAACAAGATGCTTGGTCCGAAGATGAGCTTTATAATAATATCATTACTAAATTGTGTTATGTCAGGCAATAGAAGATTGAGTTTGAACATGGCGCCCAATCCTCATTGGCCGGCGTATTGCCCTATTTTATAAAAACGCTAATCACGCGCTGTTTATTATCGAGTACTTCATTGTTTGCTGTCTGGGGAGGTACTCTACTAAAAGGATGATATTACTGTCATATCGCCATAATACTTGACTTATATAATAGATTTGTGCTGACTGACCGGTTATTCTGCTCATCGTTCTGCTCATCGTTCCTTTTAAATAATGCAACATTGATTTCACATTATTAAAGTTGCTTGGAAATAAATAACAAAGGGATAATAGAATATATATAGTTTATTGATAATGTAACCAATTCTGAGCGAATCCTGGATCGATTGGCTTAATTTTACACATTGCAAGGTCCCCAATGCCGGATTAGAGTCATCTTATGGATATATAATTACAAGCAGTGTGCAATTGTTTAATTATAGAGCATTCGGGTTTAATGATCGCAACCCCAAACAAATGCTTGTAATACCATATAATTAGTATCATAAAACTATGTTGTTAATTCTTCTCATGTCATGAGATGCCATGATGATGACATTATTCGATGAGTTGAACTATAAATCCATGGAAGTTCAGGTGTTCTGAGATTTTTAATCTTGGTTTACATTTTTATAAATGGGAGTCATTAGGCCTAAGCGTACAGTATGAAGATGATGTCACTGTTTGTGAATATCTAATGGCAGTAAAGATGACAGACATAATTACGTCTCTTGCTTACCAACTTCGTTCGTTCGAATTTTCATCTGCTAGTTATCAAATACTACACTTCGATGGGATGTTTTAATTGATATAGGCATATTCCGTACACCTTTCTTTATCTTGATGTGAAATGAGAAGCTATGATATTGGCCAACACGCCAGAAATGAGCATAATATTATTCGAAGCGTATTTCGAAAATTTTGAAACCGCCATTGATGACAACAGTTGTTTGTCGACTTTTGACCAATCAGCGACGATGTCATTCCAATACAGATTTTCATTATAAGCGTATGTCATCTTTGAACCCTGGTGTTTCTCCCCCTCTGGGTAGAGAGAATTTTAAGTGGTGACTAATATTGTTATAGACTTTTTTTGTCGACGGTGTTCGGTGTCATCGTCGGTTCCCACGCTCAATCACTACGTTCTATCTGAGGATAGGTCCGAAGCTTGATGAAGCAAGATGGTTCGTAGTTTGGTGGTCGGCGTTCGGTGATCGCCATTCGACGTCTGTAACAAATGGCAGGTGGTTATGCTTTTTTCATGTTAATGCCTTATCTGAAAATAGCAATCTTTGAAAAAATCCCTCAACAACCACGACAAGTTCCGAATTAATTCTTGCACCTTGAACTTTCAAAGTCACGAACGATTTTTCGATAATTGTAGAAAAGAAATTTAATCTCGGAATCTAATTTACGTTGAACAAGTGACACGTGACAATTAGGTGAGCAATATGATCGATTACATAGCTACGCAACCGGAAATTTCACTAAGGATATCCCCATTTAAAATTCCAGAAGTTCCGATTTCTCGGAAGAAGTTTTATCAAGTATTGAACCGGATAAGGAGGTTATTGATAAGGAGGATAACTATGCATTTACATTTATCGTCAACATTCGCCTCGTCAGAGCAAGACACGACAAGATGAATTCAATTCATTGTATTTATATTATAAGTATTTTCGTTGGGATTTTAATTCCATCTGTAGCATGTATTGGTAATGATTCGGAGGCAATATTTCAAAGAGTTTGCGGGGAGGAGACATTCATGCCACTGACCATATTTCAGGTCGTTCCGGTCAGGGCTTTAACGGAGTGTATTTGCCTCTGCGTTTTTAATCAGGCGTGTGTTTCATTCAATTTCGGAGGGTCGAACGACGCATTTGAATGTCAACTAAGCACTGAACCAATGGTCTCGTGTGCTGCAGCTGTACCGAAACCAACTTTCGGTCATTGGCGAAAAATGAGTTCTTTGGATTCTACGTCAACTGAAGTTCCCATTACGAGTGTTCCAACCACAACGGTACGTTCACTTATACGACTGTATCATATATATATATAATATATAAGTAAAAATAAGAAGAACTAATAAGATACGTTTGAATATATAAAAGGATATAAAAATAGCAATATAATATTGTATTTCGATGCCAACTCGTTCTTGAAGTTAAAAAATAATCAATGAAATATGTCCAATGAAATCGTGATAAATCATAAATAGAATATTTAGCCTATTCAACATTTCACCTGCCATTTTCCAAAACTAAGACCAAGCTAAGCTGTTTTTACGATGACAAATATTTGTGTTGACATTAGGTTGATAGCTGTCCGGGTTCCGTTGAAATTGAATCTGCCGCCACGTACGACAACGCAATCCAGCTTGTTGACGTAAACAACAAGTAAGTCATCATTAAATAGAATTACATTCTCTCCATACGTTTGGTAGCCGGAAGTTTTTATTGGTTAGCATAACAATATTTGAATCTTGACTTTGTTTCTTAATCGTAATACTGTAGTTTGGAAAATTGCGTTTCTTTAAATTGCTAAACATAAGCAGACTTTGATAAGAGATCCAAGGGGGGCTTCCGGTTGCCAAAATTAATGTTTGGAGAAGAATGCAAGGAGGAAACTAAGGCTAGGAACAAGTTGACGTTTACTTACGAAATAATTGTCACAATTTTACAATATTTTTTTGTCAACATTCCATGTTCTGCCCCTTTTGTATTAGGCATTTATTTGGCGTTTATTCGAGTTTTCAATTTTTTGTTTGATATTCAATTTTTGCTGTTTGAATTTTCACTTTTCAATTAAAACTTTCAAATTTTTGTTCATTTTTTCAATTCTATGTTTGATATTTTCATATTTTTTGTTTGATATTGCACTTTTTAATTCAAACTTTGAAGATTTTGTTCAATATAAGTAATGTTTGTTTAAAAGTCAATCGTCGGTATTTTATACTTCAAATGAGCAATTACACGTCCCATCGATGTTTGAATCCAATTTAAAACTACCCCTTATACATATCAAACAGCAAAAAAAATTTCAAAAAGCAAAGCAAGATGTCAAACAGTGAAAATTGCAAATTCATTTTTGTATTCAAGCAGTGCGGCGTTCGGAAGTCTGCGCATGCGTGCTGTGGTGTGTTGGAGGAATTTTTTGTTTTTAAAACGGGACCCATCCTTTGTAATTTCCCCTCTGCGATGTGCAGAAATTCAAAAGTCGTTCGTTTCAAATTACTGAAAATTGAAATTGAGATTCCATAGGCGGGAGGGGGGGGGTCTCTCGGTTTATTGCCACACTGCGGTGACTCTGATTTCAAAATATGACAACCTGTACCTGTGTGATTTATGCCATCACGAGTTGCCATGTTGGAAGAAGAAGCTCAAGTTGGATTGGGAAAGAAATCCACAGATATAGGCAGGATTCAGCAGCCATCAGCAAGCTGTAATGTAATAATTGGAAAAAGCTAGATAGCGTTTAAAAGTAGGAAAGACAAAAGGATTCTCGAGTTTCTGCATTAAAGAGAAGGCCCCATTTATTTGGGTTGAGACTTTTCCATTTTTGTTCTCAGATTCTACTTTAATCAGCATGCCAAGGATGCCACTGACTGTAGTTTTTAGTGTAGTGTGAACAAAGTTTTTAGTGCGTTTTCAAGTTTGAATACCCTGTCAGCCCAAATTGTTGTGAATTTTGTGTTTTCACGTGATTTACCTACCAGCCCAAACGTTTGTTATCTTTGCCTGTGAGATGTTGCGGATTCCCTACCAGAGATTAGCAGTAATTACCTCCAAGAAATGTATCTAATGTATCTAGCCACCAAAGTCAGTCCTGTGTTACCATTGTCTGAAACTGGTTATCACTAGCAGGAGCCTTCAGAAGCATCTAGCAGTGAGGAGCTTCCCCATACGTCGCAGAGCCGTACAAGACAGAGAGGAGCCACATCGAGCCAAGTGGAATCTCAAACAGCAGTAAAGAGCGCCAGAATGCTTCACAGCCAGCTAGATTTCACTGCTGACTGTAGTTAGCTACCAGAAGCTCCCGGGAGCCTTCAAAAGACTCAAATAGCAGCGAGGAGCTTCCCCATACGTCGCAGAGCCGTACAGAACAGAGGGGAGTCACATTGAGTCAGGTGGAACCCCAAACAGCAACAAAGAGCTCCAGGTTGCTGAAAAGCCAGCTCGGTTTCACCACTGACTGTAGAAAGCTAACTTAAGCTCTCAGGAGCCTTCAGATGATTCAACAAGCAGTAAGGAGCTGAGTTTTACGAGACATTTAAATCCATAAAATATATTTAAAGTGTGATTTACATAGAGTTTTCTGTGGGAGTAAGGTCTGGTAATAGTCCATGGTATGAAATCTCTAGGACGTCTAATAAAGAAGCTGGTAGCACACTATAGCGCAGCGATATTTGACCTTACATTAACATACAGCACTGTACCTACATATGTCCCCTCATAATTTTTATTATAACTGTTCAATATACTTCCGGCTTTTAGGCTGAATTATGCCTGCCATTAACAGAGGTCAAAAATCACCAAAAAATAAAATCCCAATTTTTCACAATTTGGAGTATACAATGCAACAGAAAATAATACAAAATGATTTTAAATATATGATTTAGGTTTCTAAGCTATAAGTTTGAGGTTATTTTTCTTATCAATACCAAAAATATGTAATCAGTGTATCAACGTTTTGTATTGTTTCTCAGGTATTAATAAGATAAATGCTACAAATTAATCACTTTTATATTGGAATGACAAATGTTTAAATTATGCTAGTTTTTCACAAAAGGGGTCTCAATACGTTTTGAGATATTAAGTTTTCTTCAGCGGTGAAAATTATCAATAAAGGCGGGTCTATTGCTCTTCCTTGACTAATTGGGACTACAGCTAAAATGATATTTCCCGTGGTTAGATATAGCTCAGTTGCTTATAAAACAACCATCAAGACTTGATCGAATTCATGAATAATTGAGAAAAATTGTTATCATTATCTTCCTAAAATTTGATTGTATCCAGCGGTAAGGTCAAAGAACAAACAGCCATCAGAAAACTTGATGATAGCCACAAGTAACGTCGAGGAAGAATTTCAATGCGTTCGATTGCATATGACTCTAATTGATTATTAGACATGCCCTTAGAATATATGAACATTCTAATACCTCTGTAACATTTAATTAGATATAAATCTTACCTTTTTGTTATTTTATTATGTTTTTTAAAACATGAACAATAATTTGCTATAAGACCCCTTGCGATTATATGGAAAAATTCTGGTAATAAAATGTTTTGAATGGTAAGAAAACTAATATGTTCCCAATCATAAATTACCTAAATAGTCCACATAATTTTGTTGAATCGGCTTGGCTCATATTTGAAAAATGAAATAAAATCTGAAAAACACACTTGCATAATTACACTAATTAAACACCGACATCTACGGTAAAATTAAATAGTATATTTTTAAATTATGATAATTTATTTTTGTTCGTATGCTTAGAATAACGGTCTGTGTCTTATAAAATATATAAAAGTTCGAATCAAAATATTTACGTTTTGGACCCCTTGTGATGAAAGACGTTTTTCGACCCGAAAGCCGGAAGTCTTTTCAGCAAATGGTATTTTAAAAGAATCAAGACATGTACACCTTCATAAATATTGCTTCAAATGTTGCTGCGCTATAGTGTGCTACGGATCCTTCATATTCGGAAGTCATACCATGGACTATAACATAACCATACCATACCACTATAAGGCTTTCTGGGAAAACGCCAAACGAGAGAATTTTATTAGTACGCCCATGCGGATCCATTCAAAGCTTCCACTTGGCCAATCAGATTACATCGATTCTTTAGCATGTGTATATTTAAAAAAGATTGAGAATGCTGAACTGAATAGAAAAACAAGAGATACCGAATTGTTTGAATAGAAAATGAAATGTTTGAATAGGAAAAATGTTCACAGGTTCGAACTGCAGAATACGGTTGAAAGTTCGAATACAAAAATGAAAAGTTCAGAAAAGAAAAATGTGCAAAAGTGTGTTCATAAAAGTTAGTTCGATTGAGTGTTCTTATTACCTTGAACTGTATAGAACCTTGAGTTTAACATATTATTATTTTTTATTCGACAATACTTTATTACATCTTTGAAGTTCTACACTCTTTTCTGAAGATTGTTTGCTTATATGATGTTTTATACATTCAGAATTTGATACATTTTTTCTTGTTTGATGTTTCAAACATTATTTCGAATATTTAAGATATATCAAACGTAATATTAACATTGAGTTTTAAGCCACTGAAATTTAAACCACTATGCTTGAAAATTTAACATATCTGAAAAATGAAAAGAAATTTAGATAAAGAAGCACAGTTTTTTTGGACCAGAGGAACTTCTACTCCTTTTCTTGTAGGCCTACTATGCTGTTTTGCCCTTTTTAGGTATTACACAGCAAATGTCAACGCCGATGGAACGTTGGTCTCGCTCTCGGGTGGAAGTAATGTGGACCATATTTTTGGCGGATTAATAGAAGTGTTTCTCATGCGAGAAATTAACGACTATGATCATATAATGGATAGCGCTGATGACGTCACTCTTTTCTTTAACGGTTTGTATAATTTGAAGACAGAATCAGATATATAATAGGCGGTAGAATTGAAGTTAACCCCCCTATCACACCAAACTAGTTCTTAACCGTCCTTGCCAGTCCTACGAAAACGTCGTTAAACGGGCTCAATCTAGCTGTGGTCGGGAAATATGTCTAAAATAATTAACTACTTCGTTCATAAACAGTCTTCAACACGTCCATCTCATTCGCAGTTCGTTCAGGTCGCACCACGTCGCTGTGCAACGTACTATAAACCGTCCCTTAGTCTAGAAGGTCATCATGACCTGATTGCAGAACGGTATGGTCGCCATCGAATTTTGAATCGATTCAAAATTCTAAAATCACCGTCCCGTCTGAGAACGTTCATAAAGTTCGTAAATAGACCTTAGAAAGTTGCAGCTACGTTCATTCCGTTCGCACACAGTTTAAAACCAGTTTTGAAGAACGCAGTGTCAACTTGTTTGGTGTGATAGCTATATTTTTGCTAACTCGTTCATAAGCAGTCTTAAATGCGTTCTTAATCAGTTTAAACCCGTTTGCAATTAGTTCTACCTCGTTCTCATTACGTCCTCAAACAGTTCAACTCGTTGTTAAAACGTCCCTAGTAGGATTGAAGTACGACTGTTCCGTTCGTAGTACGCCCAGCTCGTCGTTAGTACGTTGTCACTCGTTCTAATTGTAGAACGTATCGACCACGAGAACATTTTGAGCATGTTCTAAGTTCTAGAGGACCTACCCGTTCGAGCACGTTCGATGACGTTTGTAAATAGACCCCAAACGGTCTTAAGTACGTCCAGTCCGTTCGTATATACAGTTGGAGCCCGTTTTCGAAAACGTAGTGAAAACTAGTTTGGTGTGATAGTAGGGTAACTTACCAATGTATTCTTAAGTTTACGATCACATATATAATATTTCCCAAAAGATCCGCGTTATGTTATCTCGTATCTTCTCAGTATTTAGTATCTCTCATGTACTGCCACTGTGTAAATGTAAATGTAAACTCGGACCAACTTGCGCATATACAGTTATACGACAAAATGTGTTAAAGTGAATGTGAGCTTACTATATAGTCCAGGCAACCATGTCTCACATTAAGAACTATTTTGGCTAATTAATCGTTCACTAACACAAGTTTGACCATCGGGGGTTCTAATTGGATAGCGTTTAATTAATATTGTCTAGGCATGTGCCACATTTAGAACTATTTTGGCAAATTCGTCGTTCACTAACACAAGTTTGACAATCAGAGCTTTTTGCTTATTCGTCGTTCACTAACACAAGTTTGACAATCGGGGGTTCTAATTGGATAGCGTTCAAAGCCTGTCAATGTTAATTTTGTTCCTTGTTCGGGAATTTATGACTTTGATGAGTTCTTCTTTCACTCGTCAAACATAGATATGCCTTGATAAGTGATGAAAAAGAGAGTTCCGGTCGTCAAACATAAATAGGCCTTGATAAGTGATGAAAAAGAGAGTTCCGGTCGTCAAACATAAATAGGCCTTGATAAGCGATGAAAAAGAGGGTTCCGGTCGTTAAACATAAATAGGCATTGATAAGTGATGAAAAAGAGGGTTCCGGTCGTTAAACATAAATAGGCCTTGATAAGCGATGAAAAAGAGGGTTCCGGTCGTCAAACATAAGTAGGCCTTGATAAGCGATGAAAAAGAGGGTTCCGGTCGTCAAACATAAATAGGCCTTGATAAGCGATGAAAAAGAGGGTTCCGGTTGTCAAACATAAATAGACCTTGATAAGTGATGAAAAGAGGGTTCCGGTCGTCAAACATAAATAGGCCTTGATAAGTGATGAAAAAGAGGGTTCCGGTCGTTAAACATAAATAGGCCTTGATAAGCGATGAATAAGAGGTTCCGGTCGTCAAACATAAGTAGGCCTTGATAAGCGATGAAAAAGAGGGTTCCGGTCGTCAAACATAAATAGGCCTTGATAAGCGATGAAAAAGAGGGTTCCGGTCGTCAAACATTAATAGGCCTTGACAAGCGATGAAAAAGAGGGTTCCGGTCGTCAAACACAAATAGGCCTTGATAAGCGATGAAAAAGAGGGTTCCGGTTGTCAAACATAAATAGACCTTGATAAGTGATGAAAAAGAGGGTTCCGGTCGTTAAACATAAATAGGCCTTGATAAGCGATGAATAAGAGGGTTCCGGTCGTCAAACATAAGTAGGCCTTGATAAGCGATGAAAAAGAGGGTTCCGGTCTTCAAACATAAATAGGCCTTGATAAGTGATGAAAAAGAGGGTTCCGGTCGTAAAACATATAAGTAGGCCTTGATAAGTGATGAACTCATTTTGAACTTTTCATTACGAACAACTCGTCGGTCGACGAACAGTGATCAGTGATCACATGATTTTTTGTGCCAATAAAAGGATCGATTACAATAAAGCCAAATTGGTATTAACAGAACACAGGTTCGCCAATTCGACCGAGCGGCTTTATTTGAATCTCTTTCATTGGCATAAAGTCCTGTGATCACTGTTTGTCGACCCACGGTTTGTTCGTAACCCCCCTACCCGATCTTGCCAGTCCTACGAAAACGTCATAAAACGGGCTCAATCTGGATGTGGTCGGGAAATATGTCTAAAATAATTAGCTACTTCGTTCATAAACAGTCTTCAATACGTCCATCTCATCGCAGTTCATTCATGTCGCACCTCGTCGGTGTGCAACGCCGTATAACGCGTTCCTTAGTCTAGAAGGTCATCATGACCTGATTACAGAACGGTATGGTCGCCATCGTATTTTGAATCGATTTAAAATTCTAAAATCACCTTCCCGTCTGAGAACGTTCATGAAGTTCGTAAATAGTCCTTAGAAAGTTGCAGCTACGTTCATTCCGTTCGCAAACAGTTTAAAACCAGTTTTGATGAACGCAGTGGCAACTTGGTGTGATAGCTATATTTTTGCTAACTCGTTCATAAGCAACCCGTTTGCAATTAGTTCTACCTCGTTCTCAATACGTCCTCAGACAGTTGTAAAAACGTCCCTAGTAGGATTGAAGTACGACGGTTCCGTTCGTAGTACGTCCAGCTCGTCGTTAGTACGTCGTCACTCGTTCTAATTGTAGAACGTGACGACCACGGGATCATTTTGAGCATGTGGGTTACCCTACTATCACACCAAACTAGTTCTCACTACGTTCTAGAAAACAGGTTTCAACTGTGTATGTACGGACTGGACGTACTTAAAACCGTTTGGGGTCTATTTACAAACTTCATCAAACGTACTCCAACGGGTAGGTCCTCTAGAACTTAGAACATGCTCAAAATGTTCTCTTGGTCGTCACGTTCTACAAATAGAACGAGTGACAACCTACTAACGACGAGCTGAACGTACAACGAACGGAGCCATCGGACTTAAATCCTACTAGGTACGTTTTAACAACGAGTTGAACTGTCTGAGGACGTATAAAGAACGAGGTAGAACTAATTGCAATCAGGTTAATACTGATTAAGAACGTATTTATCAACGAGTTAGCAAAAATATAGCTATCACACCTAGCAAGTTGCCACTGCGTTCTTCAAAACTGGTTTAAACTGTGTGCAAACGGAATGAACGTAGCTACAACGTTCTACGGTCTGTTTACGAACTTCATGGACTTTCCCGGACGGGGAATGTGATTTAGAATTTTGAATCGATTCAAAATTCGATGGCGACCATACCGTTCTGTAATCAGGTCATAATGACCTTCTAGACTAAGGGACGCGTTATTCGACGTTGCACACCGACGTGGTGCGACCTGAAATAACTGCGAATGAGATGGGCGTATTTAAGACTGTTTATGGACGAAGTAGCTAATTATTTTAGACATATTTTCCGACCACAGCCAGATTGAGCCCGTTTTACGACGTTTTCGTAGGACTGGCAAGAACGGGTAAGAACTAGTTTGATGTGATAGGGGGGTTATTGCAACTTCAAAATGACGGGTTAATTTATGAAAATTGATAAGTCAATCCGGTAGCCGCTAGACGCTATTGGTATTCGCTAATACAAGCGTAGACAGTATTCTTCGGGGATTATACTTATCTCTTTAACACTGGTTTATACTTTAAAAACGAACCTATGCCAAATCCAATGGTGTGTATAGTAAGTTTATATGAATGTACATTTGGTCATTTGAGTTATTTATGTAAACTCAAGGCAAAGAACTTTGTAAATGTACCATTTTTAGAAAAAAAATCGTAAAATATAGTCCCGTAAACTGGAACTACTTTATTCGTCAAATTCCAACGGCGAAGCAGAGATTTTACATAAAAATGAGTCCCTATGTTGGCGTAGTGATATTTAAAAATCGAGACTTAAAACCTATATTATAAATATAGTGCCAAGATGAAGGTTATACATTGGGGAACGCAGAAATATAGTCATTATATGGGCTAATTCGCTTGAAAATGGCGATATATACCCCGGAACTTGAATGTTGTGATTTTTTCAATATTTTTCACTGAAATACCATAGTGACACCTAAAAAGTATTAGCAAGTCGTGTAAAAGCTTTCAGCTTACCAGGTTACAGTGGAACCAGATATATTTTTCTGTATCAGTAAAATATTTCATTATGAATAAAATATTATGGTAGTATTGAAGCGTGTCATGTGATTCAATGAATATAAATCGGTAAAAATTTATTTTGTTAATTATTGCCATTTTTAAATTAATCCAATAAAAAAGAGCATGATCAATGGAAAACAATTTAACCTAGGTTCTTATGTTTACATCCAGGTAATGACGTCCACTGTATGGACACGGGATGGCAAACTGACGGACTTTCCAGTAAATGCACTGCCCATGGGTCTTGGACACAAACAATAGCTGGTGTGTATGGCGTAGGAATCCCATCAACGATAAAGGCAGCCGTAGAAGCTACCGCCACAAGAGCGTACTTGTTCGATGACGTCAACGTGTACATATCTGATCGCCCTGGCACAAGCGTATTGGCGGGAACGCTTACCGATAGCTATGGTATAAGAGACACACGGGCTGACAACCTCTGGGTTGGAATACCAAGTGGAATAACTGCTGTTTCAGGCACACACGACAGTGACAAGTTCATCTTCTTTGTTGGAAAGGAATACTACGTTTACGATACGATAACTAAACAGATCACGCTTGGACCACTATGTGTCGGGAACTAGAATGGTATGTCCAAGGCCTTTAAGTAGAAAAAACTATGGTGATATAACTGAACACCTCTGCACTTAGGTTTCAATACACCGTTGGAAAGCTGAAAGGGTCAGCTTTAAGAATCTGACCTCCATTTGAATGTTTAGTGAATGAAAAATGAAAAATTAACCCTTTCATCCAAAAGGGCTAATTTATTAATTTTATAAAAATCAATTTCAAAATAACAAGAACCGCTATGGTCAGAATGGATTATTTTTAGGTTTACAATAAATTAATCAATGTCAAATTATATTTTTGAGTATATTTAAGAGTTTGAACCCAGATAGGCCGAGATAGGGGACATTAAGTGCAGTGGCCCCATAATGCTACAAAACGCGTCAGAATCTTTGTTTTCAGTAAAAATGAAATTTGATATTTGAAAATAATATGTACTTTAATGTGTAGTTTGGTTATTTAGGAATGTACAATGCAAATTACGAATTTTCTCCAGAGAATATTAAAATTGCGTATATCCTTCATGCAATTAAAGTACATTTTCCTGTTTTATATGAAAAATCAACGAAAAAATATTATGTAAAAAAGAAACTTAGCATTGTTTTCATGGATATTTTGGTGGTAATTTCTAAGAGAAAATGGAATCATTACCACAAAGTATAAATATCATAAGTATATGTTGTGCTGCCTAGACCACAAACTTTGTTTTATGGACATTTAGATTGAAAATAGAAACAGATTGTCAAAATAAAGTTTGATTGAAAAAGAATGATTAATTTGTCAATTTTACCCCTTGGTGATGAAAGGGTTAATATCTAATTTTGAATTCAGAGAAAATTCGAATGGAGATTAGATTCTCAAAGCTGACACTCGGTTTCTCAGCTTACAAACGGTATATTGGAACCTTAGTGCAGGAGAGGTAATTTAGAAATCACCAAGGAGCGCACCTAGAGGCTCTGTTTTGCTCAAGTACAGTACTTGGACCTTTATGTGTCAGAACAACACTATATTGTCAAAGCTCTTTTGACCTTTTTTGTGTCGAGTTATGACAAATGGCCTTAAGACCAATATGGACCAGGGCTTTTATGTCTAAGGCTCTTAGACCTATCTGTTGGAACTTTACATGTATTAGAATGTCAAAGCGCTTTTGACATTAAGTGTCGGACACATGAATGCCTAAAAGGCACGTTTCGTTATATTATAATGAACAGCAATAGACTGATTACATCCACGCACATGTTTCATTTTATATAATGTAAAGCAATTATTTATATAACTGATTACATCCACGCACACGTTTCATTATATATAATGTAAAACAATAGACTGATTACATCCACGCACATGTTTCATTATATATAATATACAGCAATAGACTGATTACATCCACGCACATGTTTCATTATATATAATATACAGCAATAGACTGATTACATCCACGCACATGTTTCATTATATATAATGTAAAGCAATAGACTGATTACATCCACGCACATGTTTCATTATATATAATGTAAAACAATAGACTGATTACATCCACGCACATGTTTCATTATATATAATGTAAAGCAATAGACTGATTACATCCACGCACATGTTTCATTATATATAATGTAAAACAATAGACTGATTACATCCACGCACATGTTTCATTATATATAATATACAGCAATAGACTGATTACATCCACGCACATGTTTCATTATATATAATGTAAAGCAATAGACTGATTACATCCACGCACATGTTTCATTATATATAATGTAAAACAATAGACTGATTACATCCACGCACATGTTTCATTATATATAATATACAGCAATAGACTGATTACATCCACGCACATGTTTCATTATATATAATATACAGCAATAGACTGATTACATCCACGCACATGTTTCATTATATATAATGTAAAGCAATAGACTGATTACATCCACGCACATGTTTCATTATATATAATATACAGCAATAGACTGATTACATCCACGCACATGTTTCATTATATATAATGTAAAGCAATAGACTGATTACATCCACGCACATGTTTCATTATATATAATGTAAAGCAATAGACTGATTACATCCACGCACATGTTTCATTATATATAATGTAAAACAATAGACTGATTACATCCACGCACATGTTTCATTATATATAATATACAGCAATAGACTGATTACATCCACGCACATGTTTCATTATATATAATATACAGCAATAGACTGATTACATCCACGCACATGTTTCATTATATATAATGTAAAGCAATAGACTGATTACATCCACGCACATGTTTCATTATATATAATGTAAAGCAATAGACTGATTACAACCACGCATACGTTTCATTATATATAATGTAAAACAATGTTTCATTCTATGTTTGGACATGGGCTTTCAATCTATTGAATGCCCATGGTTTGGACAATAGATGTTGCACTTTCATAATGAGTTTTGCCGGAATGTAATGCCCTACACGCTGCGCGCAATACGTGCTGCAAAACATGTAGGAAGCAAAGTTTGTTTTATGGTCAGGTATCAAGTCCATCCATATGTATTTATTGAATAAATTAATGAGTAATGACATAATTAGTACTATACAATATGCTAAATACAACATACATTTTGGAGAAAGATAGCATATTATATATTATATTATATAGTATACCAATTGAAACATAATTGTCAACCTCATTATCAGATAACTGAGTTCTGAACTAATTATTTATTCATGTTGTAATATATTATACACAGTAACACTGCACGAAATGATCACGTATAACTATTCCCGGGGATACTCTCACCAGTATGGAGCAATGGAACACATATCAATAATATGATAATAATCATCTGATGATTTGAGAATTGCACAAATTTTAATGTTATGCTATTTGCATGAATACAGCCTTTAGTATTGTAAATGTATCAGCGCAACGAAAATGTCATAATAATAAAATTACAAATGAATGAATTTCACACAATATATAATATCAAACTATTAGTCCCTATTGTTCCTTCTCAGCGCCATTGAACAAAGGCGCCTTTTGAAACATATTTATTCAGTTTTACTTTACGATCGAATTAATAAAAGCCTTTGTTTCTCCTTTATTCCTCATTGTCGGCATGATAATGGGACAATCATAATGTTGAACAGGTGGGTAATTGTTTTGGAATTTAATAGTGTCTTCTTTGTCCCAGGTTTAATGCCATGTACCTTTCCGATAGTATGTTTTAATATATGAATTGAGACTTTCCTAAAGTATTACAACTCTGCTGGAAGTATGGGTGAGTAGATATGCTGACTCAGTTATCATTTAAAATTGTTAAAACGTTGTATTGCACTTTTTTACTTTTATTTTCACTTGTTAACATTTGATAGACCAAGCTTTATAAATCAAAATACATTATGGTACAAATGCTTGTATATACAGTATGCCACATACAGTGTATAAAATACAAGTACAAGATTTGGTATATTCGATGAGTGCCATACAATACTTTATATTTTAGATTTATTAATCTTGCGTCTTGTCGTTGTGACATTAGTCTACAGGAATGTGGTAGGTCAATCAGTGGCCATATGTGATGGAATTCAAGATCTAATTGATTTAACAAATACATACAAGACTAAATCAATGCAAGACTTAGTTAAGAACTTAAATGATATTTATAAAGTCATACTCGGAGAAATTAACACCGACAACACATTGACCCCTGCAGAAAAGAATTCACTGAAAGCGATTCTTAAAAGTCTTAAGTCAATGCCAAAACAGGTAAAGCTTATCCAAAAGGGAATTACAGCTATGAATTCAGGCTCTCCTCGCGTCAAATCAAAGTACATGGAATTGGACTCAAATAATTACGTCAGAATATTTGGAGATAATCTGATACGACAGGCCGATGTGTTTTTGTCTTTGTTTGATTCACTAACATGGGAACAAAAACGATCGCAAATTAATACTCTGTCCTCACTTGGTAAAAGATGGGGTAAAGATATAGCCAGTGCACTTAAAAAGCTTGATGATGGTTCGGAAAAGACGACAATGACTTCTCTGAACAAGATTTTTAAGCCGTTTAATAAACAAATGCTGAAAGTGTCTAGGACACTTTCTAAAATAGAATCGATGTTTAAGTCACTTCTGAAGAAAGCAAATGATTTTAAAGACGACTATGAATGTGATAACGCAGCATTAGATACCACTACTGTACAACCAACCACTCCAAGGACTACTAGAAGACCAACGACGCAAAGACCTACTACACCAAGACCAACGACATCAAGACCTACAACACCAAGACGAACAACGCCTCGACCAACGGCGGCAAGGCGGACAACACCGCGACCAACTGCAACAACAAAACAAGGGCCTCTAGGGTGTCCAGTTAATTTCGATCCGGTTTGTAGTGAAACTACAAGTGGCCCTCGCTGCTCATGCCGTTGCGCAACATGTGATCTCGGAGGTAATTTTTAATATAAATTCCTTACCTGTTGAGTGCAAATACATTTCCAAAATATTGATAAGTAGTTAATTTCCTAAATACATCTACATAGATGGAATTGGCATACGTTACGTGATGACATGGAATGTGCAAGTGAAACCTCATTTGTAGTCGTAATTAGGTCACTGTTTATATGTCTGATACGGGTGATGAGCTATATCGAACGTACCAACCAGTAAATGAAGTTTTCATCAAACTCATTTTAAATTTTTAATATAGATACCGTAGAATGCCGTGTATGGGGTGCTTCTCATTATATCACATTCGATAACCACACGTACGATGTCCAGACTGGTTGCTTTCAAACCCTAGCTAGGTTATACGATGAGCAAGGACATACCATCCTCAAAGTTATTGCCCATCTAGCAACAGGGGACTTTGAGTTTGCAGGAGATCCGGAATGGCCTGGTTATGTTTCCTATATTAACTCGGTGGAATTTCATTTGGGCAAACATATGTACAGTATAAATAGGGACAGACAAGTCTATGATTCGGTAGGAATTTAAATCAGCAATTCAAATAACGTTTGAAATGTCTAAATTGATTGACTGTCAGCCTTTTGCTTTCAGTGCTAGTGTCTGTTTTCAGGAATTATATTTGTAAAATGTTTATTGCTCACATTTAGGTATCCTAATTCCATGTAATTTCCTGTACTTTACATGCATATGACAAACTCGAACTTCAATTTTCCATCAAAATATGTTTATATCAGCATTGATTTAATTACAACATACACAAATACTCAAATATCTTACGATCTTAATCATGACTACATTTTTTGATGTGATTAACATGAGAAGCAATAGCACTATGCCATGGTGCTGGTTTATATTCCTTTTTTGATGTCATTATACTTTTAACCTTTGTAAATTATTTAACTTAATTTGATGTACATTTTTATGCTCTCCCCAACACGGAGGAAAATAAAGAAACATAAACATAAACATACATTTTTTGATGTGATTAACATGAGTAGCAATAGTACTATGACATGGTACTGAATTTATATGCTCTTTCAGCTGACCGATGAAGATGTAATATTTCCTTACTTTGCTTACTTTGACGAGTCTGATATTGTTGAATCGGATGAAGTACGTTGGGAGATATTCATTGAAGAAGATACCGACACGGTCATTATAACCATATTGCCCGTTGGCTTTCAACTTTCGTTCAACGGAAGGGGTACAGGAAGAGTACATATCAAGATACCCGAGAGTTCCAAAAGCTACAAATATGTAGAAGGAATGTGTGGAGACTTTAATGGTAATCCCGACGATGATTTCTGGGAAGAAATAAGGAATTATGTCAACCCTGGAAGAGTATTTGCAATGATCAATGGTGGCTGTGAAATTACTATGGCAGATTATGAGGGAGGATGGAAGTAAGTTAATATTTTTTGACATTGACACTTCACAATAGACATGGTTAAATGGATAGAAATCTTTGGGAGCATGTCTTCCCATCTAGATCAATATCAAGCCAAGGTGGACATGGACACCTTTTTGTTTTTCGAACTATTTTAAAAAATCCTTCAAATCCAATAGAAATAAAATCATCCCAGAGGAAGCGTAGCCCATGATATGACTCCGGGATATGAAGATTCCGTAGCATAATATAGCGCAACATCATTTTTAGTAATATCTAAAGGGTTGCCCATGTTTTGATTTCTTTAAATATCATTTGCTGAAAAAATCCCGCTTTTCGGGTCGAAATATGCATGGCAAGACAAAAGGTCAAAAAAGGAAAAAGTTTCCTTCTGATCTGAATGTAATGTAAAGGACACAGGCCGTTAATCTATCACAATAATAATCAGATTGTCTTTATATAAAAATTAATTCTAATTTGAATGTGAAGTGTGCTTTTCATTTTCATTTTCTATAAATTCATTTATTTTTTTAATTATCATTTGCTGAAAATCGAAATATGCATGGCATGACAAGGGGTCAAAAAGGAATTTTTTACTTCTGATTTGAATGCAATGTAAAGGACACGGGCCGTAAATCGATCACAATAATAATCAGATTGTCATTATATAAAAATTAATTCTAATTTGAATGTGAAGTGTGCTTTTCATTTTCATTTTTATGAATATTGGTTGAGAAGATGCGAAATAATGATTGGAAATATTTAGGAATTCATGTTTACTATCATAGTATTCGATTTTGTCTACTTCAACACTGATACATTTACACAATTTATATCTATCATCAGCAAGGGTCAAACAAAGAATGCCATTTGTTACGGTCGCCAAATTCCTACCGCCTAACACAAACTGCCGAACGCCGAAATGTCCACAAAAATTGTGGATTATTATTTTTATTACTTTTTGACCACTGCTTATGACTTGATTATGACTGATAATTTGGCTCATAAGCCGAACGTATATTAGTCAGCCATAATAAAAAATAAATGCAGGATATATGTAGGTATGTAAATATTAGGTCAAATATCGCTGCAATATAGTGTGCTATCAGGACCTTGCTAAGAGGTCCTAGATGCCATTGATTATAGCGGGAATTTTATTACGGTCATAGTTTATTTTGTCAAGATTTACGCATCAAATGTTATCATTACATATTAATAAATACTATGCTGCGGTTATATATACATTTCAAGAAATTTGCTTCGGGGCATGATTATTTTGTTTTGTCTTAGTGATTCATGCCCTTGTCCTGGAAAAGACAATTGGGATATCCCTTGGAATAATCCAGATCATGAATTCGACGCCGGTGCTTTTATGACAGCGCGGATGGCGTGCAACCTGTACGACGTATGCTTTGGTAAAAAAATCGAGCACAAACTATTCAAAACAAGAAGTTGTGTCATGGATATATACAGTGCACCGACATTAGATACGAAATGTGAGGCCAGGGCTGATGTTGCAAAGGCGTGTGGAAAAATAATGAAACACTGTCATATAGAAGGTCAGTTTGAATTAAGGAAATATATTCATTAGGATAAGATAAACACAGCCCTAAAATATTGATTTGATGTATATATATATAAGCACTAGTGCCAAAGGGAAAGGACCAAAAGTTTTAATGGAACTTAGCAAGAAAAAGCAAACTCTAAGTGCTAAATACTATTTTTTAATAATTGCCCTCTTTACAACTCTGTCTCTTTTTTAGGAAGATGTATTGGCACTATATGTTATAATGGGGGCTGGCACAGAAGATATTACGATGGCAAGAAAACGGTATGCGGTTGCATCTGCGCACCGGGATATACTGGAAGCGACTGTTCAATAAAGAAGGGTGAAGACGAAGGTAAGCTAATCTGTACATATTATCATTCATTGTGACTGTTTTCATGAATGGGCTCGGACGTTGTGTGTTTATCAGGTGCATCATATCTCTGAGTTATTGAACATAATTTGACATACTAGTTATCCTGCATAAAGATTTATAGGATATCCTATGATTTTGAGGAATATCATTTTTATCTACGAGGTGATATTGATATCTGCACGAGAGAGCGAAGCGAACGAGTGCATATATCAATATCACCGAGTAGATTAAAATGATATTCTGAAAAAATCATAGGATGTTCTTATTATCCTACACTTACAAGGAGTGTACTAAATGTATAATATCATTTCAAAATGAATTCCATGCCAAAATAGAGTCAATTTGGCGGGAAATCAACAAGCGGAGTATATCGTCACAATATCCTCCGCATGTTGGGTTTTCCGGAGTATATCGTCACGATATCCTCCGCCCGGAGTATATCGTTACGATATCCTCCGGATATTCATTTTGCCAATAAATATCAAATTTATTTTTTAATGTTATTATACATTTAGTACACTAAGTGTAGGATAATACAGTATATCCATTTACACTTTTTTGCTAGGTATGGTGATGTGCCGAGGATGGGGAGATGTTCATTATGTATCATTCGACAAGAAGAAATACGACATGCAGGGTGATTGTAAATACTATCTTGTAAAACCCACTACAAAAATGCTGAAAAGTCAGCTGAAATTTAGCATTCAGGCCAAAAACAAAAAATCACACAAGGGTGCGACGGTTTCTACCACCGATTATGTTGAGCTTCATTTGACAAAGGACGTCTTCAGAATCAGTCAGGGTAAACTCGTAACGGTAGGTCTAATTTTTGAAATTATACCTAATAAATACATTTTCGAGAATTCGAAAGCAAAACTAGGTTATCTATTACGATGATAAATGACTATTTACTAGTCATTTATCATTATGTATCTACCATACGTTAATTTGGTATTTTTTTGCACAGTAACGGAGGATGACATACTATTTTGTAGTGGAATGGGAAAAGATTGAACCTCGATGGACCAATTCAGTTCACAGACTACTATACATATCACTTGGTTCGGATTGAGAAAGTAAGGGCGTGTCTTTTCCGCGGGTGTGATCAAAAAACAGACTCATATGCAGATTTCATACAGATCAGCGTTCCAACATTGAGACTACGTCTCCTTTTTGACGGCAACCAAGAATTCCATGTCCATTTAGACAGTGAAGCTTGGGGTGGGGAACTAGAAGGACTGTGTCAAAATCTTAATGGAGATAAAGATGATGACCTAATGACGTGTGGTTTCAGGAAGAAAGATGTGTCAAATCTACCAAACTATGGCACGTTAATAGGAAACAGTTGTCAAGTCGCCAATCACAGGTTAATTTTTTTCTTATATTGTATCATATAATTAAATGTAGTGGATGTTTGTCACTTTTTAAGGATCTATTTTCAGGTTTTGTCGATTCCTTATGATACTCTACTCTTTCAAAGGTGTGTGAAAATTCAATGCATTTAAAGTGCCCGATAAAGTATAAAATGCGCATGCGTCCAGGTGTTGATAAACTATAAATAGCGAAAATCCAGGGTTTGTCACCACAAGGTAAGCCAGGACGTGTTGAGAGAACAGCTAGTGTTGATATTGAATTTTTATGTAGCCAGATAAGTTTCCTTATTGAAACTACATATGGTTATTAGCAATACTTTGTAGGTGCTAAATAATAAAATATTTAGAGTATACACGTATATGAGAGAAATTGGTCATTTCGAACCTGTTGAAAAGTTTGTGGCTCTCGGCTACACCGGGGAATTTACTTCCATGAGTACACACATAAATGTGGGGTTCCCCAAGAGGTACGCGACAAGGTGACCTGGCATCAAATGTGCGACTAAATGCTACTATCGAGAAGATAAAATAACGAATACGACAATAAGTTATTGCATGTGACAATTCCGAGCCTTCATCTCACTGAAGTATTTTGAAGTGAAAATAGGATTTTTGTTTTGATACATGGATTCAGATGAACGTAACTTTATTCTGACAACTAATCAAAACTGAACAAAATTGATTGTACGTAACAGACAATTTATTGTTTTACAATGTTTTGATTGGCTAAACGAATGAAACCAACAAATTATGACATGTGAAATGACAATTTTGAAATGTAAAATTTAAAAGTGACAAACACAACCTCCCTATCCACTCTTTGGGAGCCCTAGTAAATTAGTAATATGTACATGCAGCAGTGGTAGTGTGCAGCTTATTATCACACTACGCTTTGTATTCTAAAGCCTGTTGTTTGTAATAACACTGTTCACTCAACGTATGTTTTGTGTGTCTGCAGTCAACGATAATCATTGTTTTATCCCGGTTATATGACCTTGGCAATTATAACAAAACCGTACTAAACGAAAAAACGCAAATAAGAGAAAGCTTTCACACACATATAAAAAATGAACTAGTCTAATCCGCCAGTATAAACTCTGTGCTATACGTAGCCGGGTCAGGCGCACACTTTAAACAAAACCTATTTTGATTATATTTGCTGCATCCTTCGATACTCTTTAGATGCAAAGCAGAAACAAATAGTGACACACCTCCAATGCCAGATGCTACATTAGTGGCTAAAGCCAGAGAACAGTGTAATGCTGCATGTGACCAAGGTCAAGATCCACCATGTTTTGATCAAGTTTGTAGCCCAGATGCAGATCAGAGAGCTATGATTATGGAGTCATGTATAGTTGACTATTATCACATGATAGATGATAGATGTACAGTTCTTGGCCAGGTAGCGTCCAAATGTGGAGTACCAAAAGCAGCGTTTCAATGTGGTAAGAATGTTGTTTAATATAATCTATGTTGAAAATTTAAATATTTTCAGTTAAACTGAGCTTTACCTATCTTGTCTATTTACAATTGTATTTCGATGTCTCTATTTATCTTCAAGATTCTGTGGAACAGGCTTGTCTCAATGGGGAATTTACAAAGCTTCCAGATGGAAGGCGGTTTTGTAGATGTCAAGTTGGTTTTAATGGAGTTGGATGTTCACTGCGTTAGTATACACTTGTTATAGTGCCTCTTGTCATATTCTTAAAATATTGAAACGTTTGGGAATCAAAGAAAAATACGGTGAATGACAATGGACATATGTAAAAAGTAAACAATATATTTTGCAGGGGACACGTGTGGCTGTGGCGATGGTGGCGTGTGCAATTGTGAAGCAGACTCCTGCCAATGCGAATGTCATCCATTGTTTACAGGCCCGACATGTAATGAAAGAAAAGAGCTACCATTCCATCCGCACGATTCTTCTAGTAAGAACAAAATTGTGATCAGTACAATGATGTGCTCAGTAGGCTATACGTGGTGTTTTTAAAGACTGACCTTTCCCCAAAGTACAATATTTTGATGTAGATTATTTTTACATTTCCATACAACTGACACAATTATTAATGCTTTACTATTTAATTGATGTAGTTGTAGAGTGTATGTCTGCAAACCAACAAAGCACAACCATTAAGTAAAAATGGTACCCATGCGGAGTTCGAACCCGAGTCAACCGCGTACTGACAGCATTTTTTCCGCTAAGCAAGTGGTGCTTTTCATATGTCACAAATATTTTCGACGCCTGACACTTTAAACCTACTAATTGATACGCTAATTGATTCACGTGATATGAAATATTCGAAAAATCGGATTGCCGGTGAACATCCGAGCAATCGAATGAAGAATTGTCCTAATGACCATAGATTATATTGACATCCCCATCTTGTGCCGATAGCGCATATCCCCACGATGTTAAATCAATACATCCTTGCTGAAATCCTCATTATCTCAGAGCAGAAGACAAGGATTTGACTGTCGAACGGACTAGAAGTGAACATCTTAGCTGTCTTTGAAGTTCCGTTTAGGTAACAATAAGTGACTTATCAAATCGACGGTTATGTTGTCATCTGAACTATTTGTTTACAAACATGTACATTTTCTAAACCATATGATGACACACGTTTGTGCCGAAAATGTCGCGTAGTTCTGCCAACAACACGTGAAATAAGGAAAAAAGAAAATGTTACCGAAACTGTCCGTTTCGGTCACCAGCGTAATCGAGTGGAGTACCCATGAGATATATTAAACTAAAATAATGTGTTCCGATCTTCTTTGGAAGTGTCAACCAAAATTAATATATTCATAGCAGTTGCAGAAACCTTCGGCCCACAAAACGTTTTATCTGGTATAAGAGGTAATTTATTGAGCCCAGAAAACAATTCATGTTAATGGTGATGTGATCAGTATTGTCTATTGAGGGTTTGAAATAAGATTCAGTAGGATTAGATATCGTTAATAAGAAATAAATATGGTTACACCTAACAGTTCAATGAATTCATAATCATACCCCATTCATTTGATTACCATTGATTAAGATGAGATCGGCATTTTCATTAAGCGTGGGAACAGGAGGCAGAGAATCTATGGAAATGTTAATTTTTTAAACTTTTTATACATGGCATATGGTCACGTTTATTTAAAGTTTAATTACAGATATGCTCCTTCATGTCAAATTCATTGAAACCATCCGTACAACATTATAAAATGCAAAACAAAATCTATTAAGGAAATGTCGATGGGCGATGGTGTGAAATAGTAGGCGAGCCACATTACAGAACATTCGATGGCGCGAACTTTGACTTTCAAGGTCACTGCCTGTACATGATGTCAGAGGACATTCTTCCCGACGATGGGGATTATGATCATTACTTCACTATATCAGTTCGTAATGCCATGAGAAGTGAATTTGGAGGGAATGGAGTAACCTGGCCTACATATATTGTCATTAGAGTCTTAAACAAGGTCGATATATTTATTGGAGAAATGCAGGATGAAAACTCTCTGGATGTTCGGGTAGGTTAAACACATACTGCGTATATATTAAAAAGTTGGTCTAAAACTATAATATGACACAACATGTCTCTAGTCGTTTAGACTACTCGATAATGCAGAGAGATGGTCATTGAAGGATCTTTATTCAATTTAATATGGTTACTTGTAGGCATCACCGAAGCCGCACACAGTCCTTATTTCCAATGCTATTGTTATCTGTTCGTACGCTGTAATCCAACTATAATTTTAAAATGAAATAATTTGAACATTTTAGTTGTTCCAAAAGAATTAAATAGAACTATTCTAGAGGTATTTCCAGGGGTAATACATATATTACTGCACCAATTGATCCTACGATTGTACGAATAGTTTATCTTAAAATAATTATCATTATCACGCAATCGTCCCGTTAGGGATCAAGTTGAAAAGAAAATGATCTATACTGTTGACCATCTTGAAAAAAATCCATACAGCATTTTACGAAACAGTATATCCCCATATATTAGTGCAATATGGAAAAAGGATACAATAATCGGCCTAAATCGGGTCTCTCATGAAAGTGTTTTCTGACTTGCTTATTGAAATTGATAATTAATAATTGCAAGAAATTATTTCTATATACCTAGGAGCAGCTACATGAAAAACCAAGCAAAATAATGCATACTTTAAAAGTTATAGAAAAAATCAAGCCTATTTTGTACCCCTTAGGAACTCTAGAGTTAAAAGTATGTTGCTGTACGTTATTGTTGGAGGTTGACCATGTATACATACTTTTACAAAATATTTTCCACTGAGCTGAGAGACATGAACAACGGACAGGCAATTCCACATAACAGGATTCCATTAAGATGAAGACACTTATTGGATTGTACCTCGTGACAAAATCTTAACAAATGAACTAGATTAGTTTCCAAAATCTGATAGTTGGGTACACTATAAATTTTGCAAAAGACTTTTCTATTTATCTTGATGCTTTAAAATTTACTTGTAGATAGTTAACATTCGAGATCAGGAAATCACTCAGATTACAAATTTACCACACTCGGAACCAATAGGAAGTAAGGACTATATACCCTACACAGCAGAAATAACTAAGAGCGGTGAAACCGTTACTGCAGAAATACTGCCACTGGCATTGAAAGTTCAATTTCAATCTAACTATGAAGCGAGGATATACTTAGATGAACATTGGAAAGGAAAGGTAAAAGGTAAGACAAAACGTGATTTATCATTCCCATTAATTATTCAACGGCGACCCTCTGTCAAAGAATGTAATTAGACATTTGCTGGAATTACACATGGCGTTTTACAAAAGCTTCTTCGGTTTTAATGGTCGCCAGGTCACATCGAAATCAAGTGTTATCTTCAGAGAATATGTACATATTTTTCTTTTACCTTTTTATTATGTTTTCTCATAATCAATAAAAGATAAATAAAAATTATGCAATGTCATACATTTTTAATCAAATTATGGAAGATCAGTTTTTTCTTAGATGCAAAAAGAATACATTTACAGGAGATGTACACATACATGTATGCTGGATATTATCCACAACTACATCGTTAAAAGTGCACAAAAGGCGTTTTCAAAAAAACAGGTGTAATTCCAAAATATAATTCCTAAGACGCTTTAGAAATGTTGGTGTAATCAGAATGACGATTTTGTAAAGCGCCTTCCACTAAAACGTTTTAGCGGATTTTGTCGTGTAATTCCAGCAATTGAATTACTCGAGGCGAAGTTATTTCTCGGTTACTGCGTATTTTACTCGAATTCACTTTTGTATTCAAATGAGTCCGAACATTAGCAAATAGTTATCAGAAGACATAACAACATAACAAATAATAGAGCATAGTATCTAACCCCCCTATCACACCAAACTAGTTCTGAACCATTTTTTCCAGTCCTACGAAAAAGTCATAAAACTGGCTAAATCTGGCTGTTGTCGGGAAATATGTCTAAAATAATTAGCTGCTTCGTTCAAGAACAGTCTTCAATACGTCCATCTCATTCGCAGTTCATTCAGGTCGCACCACGTCGTTGTGCAGACGTACTGCCATTGATACCCTATTGCACACGTCATCTAACACGACTCTGGTAGGGTCGAAGTACGGCAATTACGTTCCTAGTCTCTTCTCGTTTGAAGTACGTTGTCACACGATCTGATTACAGAACGGTATGGCCGCCATCAAATTTTGAAATAATTCAAAATTCTAAAATCACCTACCCGTCTGAGCACATTCGTGAAGTTCGTAAATAGATCTTAGAAAATGCAGTTACGTCCATTCCGTTAGCACACAGTTTAAAACCAGTTCGCCAACGTTTTGAAGAACGCAGTGGCAACTAGTATGGTGTGATAGCTATAATCTTACTAACCTGTTCATGAGCAGTCTTTAAAACGTTCTTAATTATTTTTACCCCGTTCTTAATACGTCCCCGGACGGTTCAACTCGTTTTAAAACGTCCTTAGTAGGATTAAAGTACGACAGTTCCGTTCGTAGTACGCCCAGCCCGTCGTTAGTACGTTGTCTCTCGTTCTAATTGCAGAACGTGACCACCACATGAGCATGTTCCGTTCTAGTACGTTCATGAAGTTCGTAAATAGACCTCAAACGGGCCTAAGTACGTTCAATCCATTCGCACACAGTTTAAGCCCGTTTTATTATTTTTATTTCGAGAACGGAGAGAGAACTGCTTTGGTGTAATAGCAGGGTGAAGTTCCTCTGAACAAAGTTTGTTAAAAACCATTCATTGATTTTGAATATGCACATTTTATTATCCCACACAACAACGTACGTTCGTTCATCTGTTCAAGGTTATAGTAGTGATATGATGAACTCTGTAACCCCCTATCACACCAAACTAGTTCTTACCCGTTTTTGCCGGTCCTACGAAAACGTCGTAAAACGGGCTCAATCTGACTGTGGTCGGGAAATATGTCTAAAATAATAAGCTACTACGTTCATAAAGAGTCTTCATTACGTCCATCTCATTCGCAGTCCGTTCAGGTCGCACCACGTCGGTATGCAACGTCCGTCGTATGACGCGTCCCTTAGTCTAGAAGGTCATCATGACCTGATAACAGAACTGTATGGTCGCCATCGAATTTTGAATCGATTCAAAATTCTTAATCTAATTCTCCGTCCGGAAGAGTCCATGAAGTTGGGAAACAGACCGTAGAACGTTGTAGCTACGTTCATTAAGTTCGCATACAGTTTAAAACCGATTCGGCAACGTTTTGAAGAACGAAGTGACAACTGGTTCTGGAGTGATAGCTATTTTTATTAATTCGTTCATAAGCAGTTCTTAATACGTTCATCTCGTCTTTATTCCGTCTGCAGTACGTTGGTATCACGTTTAGATCGATTGTGCGTTCGTCTCGTCTGCACATCGTATTCAAGCAGTTCAATAACGCAGAAGCGAGTAGGTAGTTACCAGTTCCACCACCAGGTGGCTCGTCCGGGTCAGATAGCATGGCGGGTATAGAAGAAAGTTCCCTTTAACTTAAATTACATTTGTTTTAGTGGTTCAATTTTCATATAACCCTTATGTATCTAATAGTTATGCAAATTAAAATATGTCCAGTAAAAGAAAATGATATCTGTCCAATACAAGAAAAGATATTTCACTTTTTGTAATTTTGTAACATGGGGTCTATGGGGAATCAACCCGAACAAGAAATCAAATTTTCAAAAAAAATAAAATTTTCGAAGTTGATAAACAACTTTTGAAACCATATTTTTAGATGTACTTTTACAAGTGGATTTCAAATATGACATCACTTTGACTGAATTTTGAATATTTAATGACGTAAATCAAGATTATTTCTACTCGCATCTAGTATATTGCGTCCTTAATCAGTTAATCAGTTAATCAGTTAAAACCAGTTGACAATTAGTTGTACCTCGTTCTCAATACGTCCTAATATGTTACTGAATTATCCACCAAATTTTATCAGAACCTACTGTGAACCTTTATAAACGGGTAAAAGAGTTCGATAACGGGCCTCGTATGAGCTCGTACGGGCCTCGAAAACAACAATTACGAGCATCGTACGAGCTCGTACGGGCCTCAAAAACGAGGATCCGTACGAGCCCATACGAGACCCGATGTAATTTCCATGTGTATGTATGTCCGAGAGTTTAGTAATAAAATATTGAAAATGTTATGTCTGACAAAGGATACTTAGAAAGCTAGCTCCTTTAATAGAGGTCTTAAAAATGTTATATTATGGACATTTAGTTTAGTTGTCCTAGTAGGCTTATACTGCACAAGTCATGCAGTCTGTACATGTACACGTAACAGTGTGCGCTAATTTACACACCCCATTCTCTTATACGTCATAACACCGGAAGTTTACGACGTTATACAAGTACTTTCGGCGGGAGATTTGTAAGTACTCATTTATTTCGACGTTTTGACAAGATATGGTTCTTTCCCTCTCGTAGAAACATTGATCATACCATGCAGATATACCTCTTGTATCACTGCGTCTCAACATTCGTCTGAACACGGTCTAGAACGGTATGGTCAATGTTTCTGCGAGAGGGAAAGAACCATATCTTGTCAAAACGTCGAAATAAATGAGTACTTACAAATCTCCCGCCGAAAGTACTTGTTTAACGCCGTAAACTTCCGGTGTTACGACGTATAAGAGAATGGGGTGAGATTTAGCGTCTCTGAATTCATCGTAACTCAAAACAAAATAAATTGCAGGTATGTGTGGCAACTATAACGGTGTTGTTGACGACGATTACGTTACCAAGACAGGCTTAAGAGTGAAAACCAGAGACAACAAAGGAACGCTGATTGGTACAAGCTGGAAGAATACCGAGTCACTACCATTATATGATGAAGAGTAAGTACACTCGCTGTTTTGACTGTTTTGCGTTATGAATTCAATTATTTTGGTAAAAACGTTGATCTATTTGAATACATACTTTCGTGAAAAATAAATCAACATTATGTGAAATGCAGAAAATATTCACTCAAAAACAAACAGCTATAGTGTGGCCTAATTGTGACGTCACTTCTGAACAAGGTAGCTGTAGAATCCATCCACCTAGTATTCGCAAAACATCAATTCAGTTTAAGAAATAGCAGATATATCGAAAAATAAATACCACAGAGCTAGGCACAAACAATTTTTTTTACATTAAACGACAAGTTCGTTGCGTATCTCACTCCTAGCAAACCGCCATATTGAAAATGCGTCGAAAAACATTCACTCTATGAGAAATATACAAGTCTTGATCGAAAAAGAAGTATTCCAGCGCTCCAATACTTTCACGGATGGATGATACTGATGTAAGACACAGTTAGAGACCAAAAAGAAGCCGCTGATCTCATTATTCATGTTTTAAAGGTCACTATTATTCAGCTGTCCAGTTCGCCTAGGTCAAGCTCTTATATATCAAATTCCACATAGCTGTCGCAGGAAGTAACGTAATACCTGATCTGAGGTCAATATTACGATTCGAACATGAAAACCCAAGAAAGAATATGATACGCAGGCGACATTATATAGGCCTGAAATTTATGCTAAGAATATAGTCCGGAGTAGGGATACTAGCGGTTACCGTTGGTTATTTGGTTTTCTGTATAAAAAAGCTTTTCTCCTTTTCTGTCCCGTCGCAGCGCCATCTAGTGTTTGATAAATGAATCAAGGTTTATTCTCGATAGGGTAAGTACTAATCTATCAGGAAACATTTACAAGTTTGGTTAGAAACAGAATTTTTATAGATGGCGGAGTGATTTTTGAGACTATGTAGAGCAGAATAATTTTCTGAAACAGGTAGCTTTACGGTGGTAGCTCTCTCCAGATTCAGTTATCTCAAAAACGGTGTGGTCACCGTATGCTTATTTTGTAACGGCAAGCTAGACAAGACTCCAATGAACACTGGGCACTGTTTCGCTGAGCTAGATCTGTGCCCATGAATATATTATGAAATGAAACGTTATAATGGTCGTCAATGGGATTTTTTACTGCAATCTTGACCCTATTAGCAACAGGGTGGTGACAGTACTAGGGTGGGAAATAGCGTTATTTTTGTGAAAATTACACTTTCTTAGCAATGTGTTCCTTGCATCTCTAAGAAAAATCAAATCATCCGAAGAATTAGCAATTTAGATTTTCGCTGATTCAGCATTTTTCATTTTTTACCTAAAAATCACAGGTTTTGACCATTTTTGGCCTGTATTTTGTTACAGGATAGCACAAGAGGGCTGTTAGTGCTGGTTTTAAGAGGTTGTTGACAGGCTTTTATCAAATTATTACCGAATTTAAGGATTCAGCCATTATCATAGCATGTAATACAGCTTTTTCCTTTGTGTCTGAATTTTTCTTGAAAATATATGACAAAATTGACCAATTAACCCCATAGACTGACCAAATATGGCTGAAAACAGTTACTAACATGCATGTAATTAAAACAAGAACATTGCTTTGCAAAACTGATATGATAATTTAATATAGAAGCTCATTTACTGAAAATTAATCACTAAATAATGGCTAATTTGGGGTAATCTCTGACCGAAAATGACTAGATTTGACCATTTTTTTGTCTTATGGTTCAGTGATTTTGGCAATAAACATTATGGAAGTACGAATAAACGTTTTGACATGCTAAATATTGTGAATTTTTGTTAAGCCATAGCGAGTAGCAGTATTTCTATTGCAAAAATGGTCAGTTGTGTATAAAACTGCATGGCCCTAAAATAAATGACCCCGGGGTTAACAAAGCAGCTATAAAAGCTCTTCTATTGGTGCGATTGGGCTTAAATTGCACAAAAAGTCTTGAAACACTCTAATGTTTAAGAAAAACAAGATTTCTGGCACAAAATCATTCAACCGTGTCACTATTAGAATATAGTCCGGAGTAGGGATACTAGCGGTTACCGTTGGTTATTTGGTTTTCTGTATAAAAAAGCTTTTCTCCTTTTCTGTCCCGTCGCAGCGCCATCTAGTGTTTGATAAATGAATCAAGGTTTATTCTCGATAGGGTAAGTACTAATCTATCAGGAAACATTTACAAGTTTGGTTAGAAACAGAATTTTTATAGATGGCGGAGTGATTTTTGAGACTATGTAGAGCAGAATAATTTTCTGAAACAGGTAGCTTTACGGTGGTAGCTCTCTCCAGATTCAGTTATCTCAAAAACGGTGTGGTCACCGTATGCTTATTTTGTAACGGCAAGCTAGACAAGACTCCAATGAACACTGGGCACTGTTTCGCTGAGCTAGATCTGTGCCCATGAATATATTATGAAATGAAACGTTATAATGGTCGTCAATGGGATTTTTTACTGCAATCTTGACCCTGTTCTACATGAATACATCGTTAGATAACTTTGGCCTTCAAATATTTGATAGACCAAGTTTAAATTTTATTTTATACTCATTATCACTATTTCGATTTCAGTTCTGATGACTGTATAGATAATTCTTTGCCAGATATGCCAATATTTGATGAAATCAACCAAGCTTTGTTTGATGAAGCATCAGAACACTGTAGAGATCTATGTCCGGACATATTGGAGTTCAGATATAGCGCATGCGTCGCCGACTATTTTACCACTCAGAGTGAAAAAAGAATGCAGTGTAAAGTACTGCTAAATACGCTTGATTCTACAACGTGTACGGACATCCCAGTAGAATGTGAACAATATGCATCACCAAACAGAAGATAAGAAAAACAATTTGACAAAATCTGATGTAAAATATATAGAGCCTTTAGAACAACAAGAATAAAAAGGAAACTCTGCAAACACACATTGCTTTATGTTCAGTTTAATCAATGCAAAAAATTGTTGAATGAATAAAGGCAAAGAGCTCACGTACGCGTCTCGAACTCACCGCCTCTTGGTGACGGTGACAGCGCCGAGCGCCGAGCTAGGAGTGTTCAGTGTTTTGACAGCTCGGTCAAATATTCAATACTTTCACACTATAATACAATACTAGATAAGGTATACAATCAAGCATTCGCCATTTACAGGATGAGATAAAAAATGTTTATAACTCAGTCATCCAGTATGGATTTAACGCCATATTTGGCACAATCTGACCATTTTTTGGTTTCACTTCATTTTATCAAGTTTCATTGATTGGTTTCATATGAATATACAAATACCGGTCTCGTCTATGAAGGCAAACTTGAACTCATCGGGTGTTGTTGATCTGCCTACACACTTACAGATATGTTGTGTGGTGACTCTCATTTTCCTTCTAATCTGTTGTTATCATCTCTCAGGTGCGTCTATAGGGTTGTTAGTGTAGACATTATCTTTCCCCCAAACATAAAATTCTTGGAGTTAATATCAATTTGGCGATTTTGGCATGAAAAGATATTTTTTGCTGAATCTTTTACTGAAAAGATATCCTGATTTCTGATTTGCCCCGAACCCCCCCCCATTTTCCATTGGATTACATGAATTAAGGAAATATATCTAGTGGCTAGCCTTCATGGCTCAGGGGTAGAGCGTCTGACTCTGAGAGTGGAAGGTCCTGGGTTCGATTCCCGTAGATAATGTTAAATGCATTGGGTTATTTGGGAGTTTAAGCTTAGCGTAAATAACCCATTTACCTATACCTACATGTATACATAGTTCGTTATTACACTAAGCGGTATATTACCTAAGTTACAGGGTTTGCGAAACGTAATTAAGGCATTTGTGGAATACAATACATGCACCATTTTACACCCTTCCGAGGCAATAATTTTAAAGGGAAAATTTTAAATTATTCATAGAGAACTTATTATAGCTGTCTCTGTACAATTGTCTGCAATGTCGAATGTCACTGCAGCATTAATGTTGCCAATGTGAATATCATGTATTTTTCGACTTTATTTCTAACTTTATTTGAATGTTATATTGTTGACTATCACGTCCTAGCCGTTCACTGTTAATATACATCATCCTGGTGTGTGATCAAAAAAGTTTCACAAAATGACAAAAGTGATATTGATGAATCAATCAAATCGGTAAACCGAATTGGGACACATTTTCATGAAAGTATGATTAATTTCAATGTATCAACTTGATGATCATTGCTAAAACGTGTACTTTTGTGGATTCTTGTAATGAGGTAGAGGGGCTATCGACGATATGACCATCTATTGCACCTCGAGAATGCATATTTTCCGTATCTTTTGGGAACCTTTTTCGAAGTTCGAATGACACGCCAGAGCGTTCAGTTGCTAATCTGGCAATTCAGAGAAAGATAAAAACTTTCCCAAGTTTAGAAAACGGTTTTTATATATTTTGTAAATGTACACTACGGAGGCTAAGTATATGTACCAACCCAAAATAACAAGGATTCACAAATACAGGATGATTATTTTTTCCATTTATTTACTATTGATACAGTAAGAACGATCGCGAGTTGTTTTTCTGATGGCTTCTTTGACCTCGTTAAAGAGGGACATGGGGTATAAATAGGAGGCAGACAAATGGAACAGCCAAAATAACTGTATTTTTGGTTTTTTCACAAAGCTGGTCAATTTTCTCACATTTCATATTGATTAAGATTGAAGATGTATTGGTTCCAATTTTGTTATGTGTATCTTTCAATGTTTTTAAGTTCATATTCTGCAGTTAGTCTGCTTTTGTCATGTAATTTAAGTACTAAGCGTGGTAGAGAAGACGCTTTTAATGTTAAGGAATTATTCTGAATTAAAGTCAAAGTGTTGGACCTTTAAGAAATGTATACGTGACATCGACATATTGTGAAATCGTCTCTTTATAGTATTAATTGCACAATTTATTTTCTGTTTTGAATAAACACAGTTTGTCTCTTGAGTATATAAATACAGCCTTAGTTCATGTCCACATTCAGTCGTTTTGATGCAATATTAATCATGTCAATAAACATTTGAAGTTTAATAATATAATATGCTACAAGGTGATACAAAAGTGCAACGCTCCAATTTTGAATAATGAATAAAATATTGTAAAATTGTGACAGTTTTTGAAAGTAACTTAACTCGTCTGTAGTCTTTGTGACATATTGAACAATGTATTTGCGGGTTCTGAATAAACATAGTTTGTCTCTTGAGTAAATAAATACTGCCATAGTACATGTCCACATTCAGTCGTTTTGAATGCAGTATTGATAATCCGCTCCTTTTATCAAATTACGTTGCTGTTATATAGTATACTACATTGTGATAAAAGTGCAATCCTCGAATTTTGGATTAACCTTTTGAATTTTGATGTTATCTTTTTTGGTTTTTGGGAAACAGTGTTCAATATAGAAGACATTTAGTACCAAAAATCGAGGTTTGCATTTTTGATATCACGCTATAATCGTTCAATGGTGTAGACATTTAAATGTCAGCTGTTAAAGACCTATCCAGATGGCGTCGGTTGACACTTTACTATTAAACCAACTCCTGTCGATGGCTTAGGAAAAGCACACTTTGGACCCACTGACATGTTATTGCATTCACATCTTGCCTTTGATGTGTCTTTAGCTGTGTTCATAGCAGGTTCATCAGCAAAGTATAAACCAGTAGAAACACCTCCCAAAGTAAAAGTCGATGGCAAGGGAGGTTTGAATGCAAACAAATGTGAGCTTGATGTCTCTTGGAGATTGGCAAGAGCGGGAAGAACATTGCTGACGCTACATTCGGTGCCTTGAACATCAATTTCAACAAGGGTAATTGCATTCCCCGGCGGAGGAAATGTAGGACCACTTCCTTTAAACTCCAGGCACACTGTCTTACTTGAAGTCGTATCCTCACGAATGCCATAAATTTTCCCGGTGCTACTGTCCTTTGATGTTGCTTTGACTGAAGATTCATCTGCGGAACTGCCTACAAACACTCTCACTTTTATGTACCACGCCCAATATTGCCCTGGTGCTTCAGGAAACCATGCCAACGGCCAAAGTGTTTGTGTTTTAGGACAAACAGGTACAACCTGTGAACCTGGAAGTACCAGTACAAGTAAACAGACTGAGTACTCATACAATGATTTGGGATCCTTATAAAACCTGTAATGAGGATCAGAAGGGGATGCCTTCTGACATTGCACTGAGGACCACAAGGCGTTTTTTACGCTATGGTAGACTGGTCCATATGTGTTGGAAGTGGGAGCACCTAAAGTAGCATTAGTCTCGATAGGTCTGTTGTGTGTTGTAGTTGAAGGACCTGTACCGGTAAATGCTGGTATGCTGTTAATGACAGTGTACTTTGGAGCACTTATCCCTCCTAGTTTAGCTGAGGATGAAAAGGCACCGTTTTCATTTTCAGCAAACAAGTAGGCGTGGATATTTGTTTTTCCGCACACTGTCAAAATACAGTTTTTGGTAGACTGTAAGTTCCCCTTGTTCGACATTCCTCCAGTTGTAATCCTGCTCCATTTTGATCCATATCCAGGCCTTGAACCAAGTGCAATTACGGTTAAGTCAGTAGAAGATGTCCATGGTATCTCTGTGCTAAAGTTCGCATCTGTATACATCCTCATGTTTATAAAACAGTAATTTAAAGCTGGTTCGTCAAAGTTGATCCAATATCTATCCGTAATGATAATGTTTCCAACTAGGAAAGTGGTATTAAAGGATGACCTGTCTCGCTTTTGTCTCTCCGTTCCATGTTCAAGTTTGGTTGGATTTTCCCAGCGACCAGAAATTTCATCTAAAGTATATAGTTGTACAAGCGGATCTTGGCTTTGGTCAATAAAGTCTGCTCTGATTGCTACATCGATTCTGCCTATTAGTTTCACCTCAATGCCTTCTAAGTTTTCAAACCCAAGTCGAAACATTCCTGAAGTCTCCAGGGGTCCCGTATTACCATCTTCATTCTCAAATGTTAAGTCACCTGGCATCGTATTAATTGATGAAAAGTCCCTCGAGTCAACAAAGTTCATAAAAGCATTGACTTCGCCAGTGAAACGTGCTCCTTTGCTGTCTACAAATTGACCCGATGGAATTAGCACCTGAACGAAAGGTTCACTTGAGTCTTCTTCTACTGTTGCAACGATAAGTCGATTAGTTTTCATTGGGTCAATCTGTGTTGGTTTTTGTTTAACAATCATAGGAATGTCCCTATAAAATGCCCCAATATGACAAGTAGGTATGTAAAACACTTTTGTTGCTGGTATGAGGTTTTGTGGAAACCATTTACTCGGTCTCACATTCACAACTATTCGTGTTTGTCCTCGTGGTACTTTGAAGTGGAAGTTACCAGTAAACCCTGTGTATGTTTTCAAATCACTTCCAAGTAATACCTCACCAAAGATGAGTGGTGTTTTGTCATCTACTCCAAATGCTCTTCCATAGAAAACCACGGACGTATCTTGAGTAGACACTTCCCCTGTCTCTGGGTCTGTAACTTGGTTACAAACAATACAGCCGCATTTTCCGTCACCACAACATTGATGCTTATATCATTGTCACATTCCACGACCACAGTTTCTTGTAAAGTAGGACCACAACAATATTCTGGCTTACTACCGTATCGCCTTTCAGCTTTTTGATTCTTGCATGCGCTTTCATTACATTTTTTCACATCAAACGTTCTAGGTTCGCATCCACGAGGGAGCTCTTGCACATGTGATTCTGGCTCAGAACAAACTGAAAAAAAATTAGTGCCACATGTATTCGATTGACAATATTAGCACCAAGCAATCTAATGTTATGAACACATAAAATAATGAAATATTTTCAAATATAAGTGGAAACTGAACAGCTTTTTCGGAATTCAACTACCTGTGGCTTACTTGGGTCAAATAACCTAGCAGATATAGGAAAAAGTTTGTCTAAACTTCAATCTTCATTAGATTTATTGTACCAAGTATTCAATTACCATGAAATCAAGATCATTTCTATTTGAGTCTAGTCTCTTGTATTATTGAATCCTGTAATGCATCATATCGTGTTTAAATGAAACAAAATAAACACCAAAACTTACCGTTGTCATCTTCTTTGCAGAAATATCTCACTTCATAGTTCAGACATCGACGGTTTTTCTGTTTTCTGTTGTAACATGCTAATCCACCTTCTACAGAACAAGCAGCTTTCTTATGAAACACCTGGCCTGTTTTGGAAGCAGGAATATGGGTCCTCACAGTCCTACATTCTATTGCAGACGGGGCTTCACATGGCAACCGCTATTTTAATTGTAAGTTGAACTTTACGTAAATCAATTGAAACAAATATTCAAATCAAATATTATAACAAACATCTTTTAATACGGACTCTTAATTATGAGCACTATATATATCTTATGCAAAATCCTACCCATTGGAATACAAATATAAAACACTTAGAAATGTTAAATATTGTAGATTGTTAGTAATTCTAGCTTATACCGTGATATACTACGTTTCAACAATCGTTTTACCTTTTCCGATCTGTAGTCTCGTGTTGTTTCAAAATCCCCATATCCGTCTGGGTAATCTCGATTCATCCATACGGACCAACCAGCACCTGGCAAAGAAATTCATGACCAGCATTTCTCGCATTTATCTGCATAGGTCTGCATAGTTAGTGAGCTTGTTTCATAACATATCACCGAATTTCTGACCAAAGGGATTATATATATTCCTTAATTGTTTATTCAAACGAGCTTCTCAAAGGTACCAGTGGTTTAAGTGTTTGATTGACGCTTTTAATTTTAATTGGCGGAGGTGTGAGATTTGATTTACAAATAGTGTTATGACAAAAGTGTTGCCTGCATCGGGGTTAAAATAAGCCCATTGCGATATTTTGTTTCTTAAAAAGGAAATGTTTATTCGACTTCACCCTATGCAGACAGAGCCTGTGGGAAATATTGGGTGCGGCGCAAATGAGCGGAGGGTGCGGAGCTAACGGTCATTTTTGAATTTAAAATTGGGATATTTCTGAAACTAAGCCGTTTTGGGACTTCAAATATACCAAGATATGTGTATTTGACACCAAATATCAATAACATTTTGAAAATAGTAGCGCAATTCATTTTATAGCGACGCAGTATGCCTTAAACATTTCCCAGACCTATATATTTTGAGACTATCCTTTTAATACTGCGTCCCCAGCATTCATAAAAAATGGTGTTCAAGATACACTACCCATGCAAATTATTTTTGCATCTTGGAAGCCAGGCAGTATCTGTGTGATTTTATAAAAATTCGGAAATGTTCTTCAGATATGAGCCCCCTCTAAATATTGGGTGCGGAGGTACGTTTATGGAGCTCCTCCGCACCCAATATTTAGAGGGGGCTCATATCTGAAGAACATTTCCGAATTTTTATAAAATCACACAGATACTGCCTGGCTTCCAAGATGCAAAAATAATTTGTATAGATAGTGTACCTTGAACACCATTTTTATGAATGCTGGGGACTCAGTATTAAAAGGATAATTTCAAAATATATAGGTCTGGGAAAGGTTTAAGGCACACTGCGTCGCTATAGAATGAATTGCGCTACTATTTTCACAATTGTATTGATATTTGGTGTCAAATACACATATCTTGGTATATTTGAAGTCCCAAAACGGCTTAGTTTCAGAAATATCCCAAATTTAAATTCAAAAATGACCGTTAGCTCCGCACCCTCCGCTCATTTGCTCCGCACCCAATATTTCCCACAGGCTCTGTCTGCATAGGGTGGTCTTATTATTTCTAAAAAGTGGCATTTCCAAAAATAGTTGATCACATGCTTCCCCACAATATTGATAAAAACTGTAAACAAGCCAAGAACTTCATTTACTGCTTTATACACTGATTATATCCAATATGAAATATTTGTCCGTATTTGAAAATATTGACCATAATATAAAATGGAAAAGACATGAACAAGAATGTAAACCTTTCTTCAACCTCATTTTTAGATATTATGTAGTTAACTTCCATGTTACCAAAAATCATGATTCGTGAATCCATCTAAATATGCTTTTTTCAAATTTTTGTTTTCAAATTCCCCGGTCGACAGATTTATTTCATTAAAAGGAGAGGAACTGGTCAAGAGTCTAGATTTAAATAATGCATCACTCACTTTTTGGGCAGAGTATTAGACGTTGGTCATACGTAATCGAACACGTGTAATTTACTACTAAATTGAATATTATCATGAAAATATCATATTCGAGAAAGTTTCGACTCAATCATATTTCAATTTAAGATACATAAGGTCCCACACTGTCTCGAATGCCTTGGTGAAGTCTAGGATGTATAGTCTCACAAAAGTCATATAATACAAAGTAGTGTGTAAGAAAGTAACCTTTTTTAACAATATGAAACGTACAGGTACCTTTGACAAAATACATTGTATTGTGCATGGCAAAGAAAAGTACCAACAAGAACATAGATTTTTTCATTTTGTCGACTGATGCCACTTGTTGTTCTTATTCTGACGTTTCCTTCGGAGTCGATGGCGTTTTAACTACATATACAGGTTTTAATATAATTACCAGTTTGATCATTTATTGCATTTTTATGAATGTTGTTTTATTACGATATTCTATAAGCCATTGTGTACAAGTCACGTTGTTGAAGTTGACATTACGTGCTAGTGTTCAACTTCTCGATTCTTTCACTAAAATAGTAATATAACCTTCCTGGTACAAATGTTATTTCCACTACCAAGGCTGTCAAGGGACATTCGATGCCAAAATATACCAGTTCATCAAGGATAACTTTATTCATTTAATCACAGAAACACTTTACATATGGACGTTCTAGAGGTGTGTTGTTTTGTATCAGGACAATGTGTCCTTAATGGTAGAAGAGAAGATTGGAATAACCTCAGGGTTCAAAGAAGACTTATGTAATGCAAAGCTAAATCCGTTTTGAGAAGACACCGTCGATGATTGGTTGAGGGTTTGATACTATCAAATTGATAGTATCTTTTTGGTTCGAATCGTAGTTTAGGACATCATGTCTTGTTTTCCGATATCAGGTTGTATTCTTTACTTTTCTGTACTTACTTATCTAGTATATGTTGCTATTTCCTTCTGTGTTGTGTACTACGCTTTTATCGTCCCCTTGGCACTCGTGTCTGCATGTATTCTAGTGGGTGCAGTTTGTATACGTGTAACTGTACATACATTCCCTGATTTTTATCTATATGAACTAACTTTATGATGAATTTTCATACCTGTAATGAAAATAATCATGTTTGTTTTAAATGGTGACATTTTGCACGTCAGATCATCATTTAAATATTAATATTAACAGTGTTTTAAAAAGGAAGTGTTGCTGAGTGCGATGTTAATAATATGTTTCAAAGTTTCAAATACTGTTTACTGCAAAATGAAACGTTATGTCCTGCAATAAAGTTCGTCCTCCGATCATAGTGCTCCTGGCATCAGCCTTCAAGGTTTTCTCCATGTGGCTATATTTGGTAAATTCACACTGTGTGCATGGGGTCTTTAGATAAAGTAAACATACATGGACAGAACCATAGGAGACAGGTTACCTGAAAAAGAAGATAGATATAATATATTTTCTCAAAACAAGGACTGTCAGACGGTTCAAAATGTAATTGCCTACCCTGGCTGAAATCAGCTCTGAAATGACAATTACTGCATTCAAGGCTGATTTTGTAGGAAATAGATCTGTCAATCGTTCTACATGAGAGTTCTTACCCTAAATATACATGCTCAAGTATAAATCCATCAGATTCTACCCCCAGGAATGTCCATTTCAACTGTACATCAACCGCGCGAGGAAATAAAACAAATCCGTACTTCACTTATTACTTGGATTATTATGCTGTCATTTTTACATCAACAAGTACATTTTTTGAGAAACTAATATATCGTAGTGTTAGTAAAATCTACTTACGATTCAAGAAGTATTTCTTGTAAAATTACTGCTTTCGAAATATTATAAACTTTTGTCGGAAACACCTGCCAACGTGCTACTAAGAACTGAATGAATTCTGGTAATTTGATTGGATAAACAAAATAGATCCCGGGGAAGGAAATTCCCGTGAGACACGATAGAAAAGTATGGGAGATCAGCTGTCGAAGAAGCTGCCCAATCAGTTCAACTAAATGCTTAATTTTAAGATGGATTTTAGTCCAAATTTTATAGACTAATATTCACCGGCAAATGCTGAAGCAGGGTTTTTCAATATGCTTGCTCATTTTAAATGGCCGCCATTTTTCGTAATAATGAAATGTTCGATAACTCAAATATAAATTTATGGTTTGTTTAAACTTTTATATCTTGTTGCTTTAGGACTGCTTGGAAAGAGATTTTAAAGATGGCTGCTCCATTCAAAATGACTGAAATTTTTCATGAAAATGTCATTTTTTAATACTAGTTATAGGATTTGTTAAGAGACTAATGTCAAAAGAAGGAATTCCCAATATGACCACTCAAATCAAAATGGCAGCCATTTTTTTGTTAAAAATGTAATCTTTGATAACTTAAATACCAACTTTCAGATTTGATCCAGGTTGTATGTGCCAATCCTTATTAGCATAGGACAAGAATGATCAAGAATGACTAATTGTGGTCAAGAATTTAAGATGGTTACCATTTTTCGAGAAAATTATGTTTTGTTTTGATAACACAAATACCAGTTACTAGATTTGGTCTAACTTTATTTTTGCTATAATGTAATGTCCAAATGACAAGATATTTGATAAAACATAGTATGATTGGAGAATTTCAATGGTGTTGCTGTTTTTCTAGTATTTAGTTCTGAATAAGAATAGTTTTTCTCTTGAGTAAATAAATACTGCCATAGCACGTGTCCACTTTTAGCCATTTTGATGCAGTATAAGGCGTTCTTCCCTTCAATAACATTTTATAGTGTTCTACTGGGATATCTTACAATTTATTTTCAATTCCGAATAAACAAAGTTTCTGTCTTGAGTGAATAAATTCCGCCATAGTACATGTCCATGTTTAGTCATTTTAATGCAATATTAATAATCCGCTGATCCTGTAAATTTATATTTCTGTTAAACAGGACGATAAAATTTGCAATCCTTTAATTTTGGAATATATTTCGAGTTTCGATGAAAGGATCGGTAGCGATATGGTGAACTAAATTAAACACGTTTTTTCCTAAAGTAGTCATGAAAAAAGTACGCATCGTTAGTTCTACAGTCAACTTTTGAATGTTAACAATTTAGTTCAAAAAATATATATCTACTATTGTTTAAGAAAACACATCAGACACTGTCTTTTGTTCTTAGTACCATATGTTCAAAGAAATATCTTTCCAAACTTTTATTAATCATTTAAATTCAAGTTCATTTATCAATGTGTCTTGTTATGTGCCTTGATACAATGAACATTCAACAAAGATAATCAATTAACATTTGCGTTGAACTTTTATCAATATAATACAAGGTATACTTTAATCTATGATATATTTTCTGGATAACTTCCCTTTATATATTTAATAACTTTGATATTGAGAGATTTCAGTACATGGTGTATATCTCATTTTGCTCCAACAAGGTCTGGATAGATGTTTTATTTTATTTTCAAGAATTGGTATAAAAGAACAGAAAAAGATTGCAGAAAAACAAAAATGTAAAATATTCATAAATAATTTTCAGATTGTTGTCAATCGGTGACCATTACACTCAGGGTGTATTTTTACAAACTGTTTTCATTACTTGGTTAAAGAGCAAAACAATGTTGAATTAAGTTTGCCATATCTCTACCAATCCTTTTCTTTTTTGGGGTAAATAGAGTGTTCAATATGGACTGCATTTAGGTTCAAAAGTTTCACGATTAATATTGCCTTGTATTCGTCCAATGTTGAAGCTATTAAATTATCCTGATGGAGTCGGCTGACATTGCACTGTTAAACCAACTCCTGTCGAGGGTAAAGGAACAGCACAATTTGTACTTCCTAACAATATGTCACTGCATTCACATCTCGCCTTTGCCATGTCCTTAGCGGTATTCATAGCAGTTTTATCAGCAAAGTATAACCCAGTAGAAACACCTCCGTGGCTCGATCCCAAGGGAGGTTGAAATGCAAACAGATGTGTGCTAGATGCAACTTGGAAATCGGCAAGATCAGGAAGGACACTGCCTATGCTACATCCGGTACCTTGGACATCAATTTCAACAAGGGTAATTGCATTCCCCGGTGGAGGAAATATAGGACCACTTCCTTTAAATTCTAGACACACTGTCTTACTTGAAGTCGTATCCTCACGTATACCATATATATCCCCGGTGCTACTGTCTTTTGACGTTGCCGTAACTGAGGATTCATCTGCAGAGCTGCCTACCATCACTCTCAGTTTAATGTACCACGCCCAATATACTGTTGGCGCTTGAGGAAACCAGGCCAATGGCCAAAGTGCTGGTGTACCAGGACAAACAGGTGCGATTCCTATGATTGGCTGTGCCGTCAAACAGACTGAGTACTCGTGCAATGTATTTGGATCTCTATAAAACCTGTAATGAGAATCAGAAGATGTTGCCTCCTGACATCGTACTGATGACCACCAGGCGTGATATTGACATTTAACTGAGTCACACAAGAAACACCGTGGGTTCGCTGGATTAGGGCAATTACTGCTACAGTATGCTGGGCTCTCGCAAAAGTTGTCTACGCTATGGTAGACTGGTCCATTGGTGTTAGAAGTAGGGGCACCTAGAGTAGCGGTTGTCTCGAGTGGTCTATTGTGTGTAGTTGAAGGACCAGCGCCAGTAAATTCTGGGATGCTGTTGACGACAAGGTACGTTGGAAGACTCCCTCCTAGTGTAGCTGAGGGTGAAAATGCACCGTTTTCATTTTCAGCAAACAAGTAAGCGTGTATATTTGATGCTCCACACACAGTCAAGATACAATTTTTGGCCGACCTAACTTGCGATTTTCCCTCGAACGACATTCCTCCAGTTGTAATCATGTCCCAAGATGGTCCATATCCAGGCCTTGAACCCAGTGCAATGACAGTCAAGTCAGTAGAAGATGTCCATGGTATTTCTGTGCTGAATGACGCATCTGTGTAGACTCTCGTGTTTATAAAACAAAAATTCAAATTTGGCCGATCAAAGTTTATCCAGTACCTGTCAGTTATGACTGCATTTCCGACTAAGAAAGTACTTGGAAAGTTTGCTTTTGAACGCTTTTGTCTACCTGTTCCCTGTTCAAGCGGGGTCGGATCTCCCCATCGACCAGATGCCCCATTCAAGGTGTATACCTGTACAGGGGGAATTTGGGTTTGGTCAATAAAATCTGCTCTAATCGCTACATCAATACTTCCATTTAATGTTACCTCAGTGCCATCCAATTCCTCAAAGCCCAACCGAAACATTCCTGAAGTCTGCAGGGGTCCCGTATTACCATTTGTATCTTCATATGTTAGGTCTCCTGGCATCGAATTTATTGATGAAAGGTTCCTCGGGTCAACAAAGTTCATAAAAGCATTGAGTTTGCCAGTGAAACGTTTTCCCTTACTGTCTACAAATTGACCCGGTGGAGTTAAAATCTGAACAAAAGGTTCGCTTGAGTCTTCTTTTACTGTTGCAATTGTAAGTCGATTAGTTTTCCTTGAGTCAATCTGCGTCGGATTTTGTTTTCTCATCATAGGAATGTCTCTATAAAATGCTCCAATATGACCTACAGGTATTTGAAACGCTTTTGTTGCAGGTGTCAGCTTTTGAGGGAACCATCGACTCGGTTTCACGTTCACAACAATTCGTGTTACTCCTCGTGGCACTTTGAAGTAAAAGTTCCCAGTGAAACCTGTATAGGTTTTAAAATCACTTCCCAGTAATACCTCGCCAAAGATCAGTGGCTCATTGGAATCAACACCAAATGCCCTTCCATAGAAAACCACGGACGTATCTTGCGTAGACACTTCCCCTGTCTCTTTGTCTTTAACTTGGTTGCAAACAATACAGCCACATTTTTCCGTCACCACAACATTGATTGTAATATCATTTTCACATCGTACGACGACTGTATTTTGTGAAGTTGGGCCACAACAATATTCTGGTTCATTATTGTATCGCCTTTCAGCTGTTTGATTCTTGCACGAGCTTTCACTACATATTTTCACATCAAAAGTTCTAGGTTTGCATCCACGAGGGAGCTCCTGTACATGCGATTCTGGCTCAGAACAAACTGAAAAATTATCAATTCGTACCACATGTATTCGATTGAAAATATATAACAGGATATATGAATTTAGCACCATGCAAAGAAGATTGATTGGCTAATGTTATGAAATTTCATTCAACTCTTTTGGTAATTACCAGTAGCTATTTTGGGTCAAATAACATTGCAGATATTAAAAGATTGTTCCTCTAAACTTCATAATTCATTAGATTCCTTGTATCATTTTCCCCATAACATGTGCTTTGTTTCATCCTGGTGCAAAGATTATTTGTACTTGAATCTAGTCTATTATATTATTGTATCCTGTATCATGGATTCTATTGTATTCAAATGAAGTAAGATAAATACTAACCGTTGTCTTCTTCTGGGCAGAAATATCTCACTTCATAGTTCAGACATCGACGGTTTTTCTGTTTTCTGTTGTAACATGCTAATCCACCTATTACAGAACAGGCAGCTTTCTTATGAAACACCTGGCCTGTTTTGGTAGCAGGAATATGGGTCCTCACAGTCCTACATTCTATTGCAGACGGGGCTTCACATGGCAATCGCTTGAATATAACAATATGACAATATGATAATCTTATGCCTGAGTCACATTTGCTGCGATTCATCGGCTGGCGCCCGGCCGAATGAGTATCCTGTTCAAAGCTGAATACATTTGTGAACAGGATACTCAATTGGCCGATCGCCGGCCGATGAATCGGAGCAAATGTGACCCAGGCATTACCCATGTTTGTATGGATTAAGACGTATATCATGCATGTTAGGTGAATATATAGAGGAGGGCCAGAGGGCCTGAGAGAAATATTATATTGTCACGAGGAATAGACCCATATGTAATCCCGACCAGTAAATAAGCTTTTTATTTCATGATATTCATGACTGAACATCCATATCTGATTTTTGTATGAAACAAAAGTAGACTATATATTTAGTCTTCAAAATATGACTTTACGGCAAAAACCCGAGAGTCGAATACAAATTTCGTGAGCAGAATTGGGAGGTAAATACTATTTTCGTGGGTGGGATCGGGCGGGACATACGATTTTTTCAATATATAAATATTTCAGGGTGTTATTCACCGGGAATTAGTAGTATCTTGGGATGAATAATTAATATGAAAATCATAATGTCATATTTAGCAACAATTTTTTTTACTTATGACCATAACATATATATCATGCTATGAATCCACCTATATATCATATCTATCATTAAAACTAACATGAAACATTGTAAAATGTTAGTAATGCGTGGGTAGTAACGTGTCATCATATTTTTAATGCAAGCCATAGCAGACTTACCCCTTCCTTCCTGAAGTCCCGTGTTGTTTCAAAATCCCCCTTTCCACTTGGGTAGTCTCGGTTCAACCAAACAGACCAACCAGCCCCTGGAAAGAACAATTCACGATGAGGAATCTCGCTACGTTTGAAATAATTTCTGACCAAAGTGCATAAACTCTTTAATTATTTATTAAAATAAGCGTTTCAATGGAACCGTTGATTTAATCAATGAATGACGTTTAAATTTCAGTTTGCAGAATACGGCAATCTGATCGAGCTTACAATTGCATGCCCATTCGTGTTATGTCAAAAGGGTTGCCTACATTAGACAATAGATCCTTATAGACTGTGAATATGGATATTTAAGAAAATACTAAAATACTAGAATTTCTTGCAATGATCCCTCACAAGTCTTAAATACACATAGAACAGCCAAAATAATTCGGCGCCGTTTAGACATCGAAAAATTCGGCGCTGTTCCGGAACCGTTTCGGCACCGAAACCTTTCGACACCAACATTTGCCACCGAACTAGTCAGTCCATTTGGTACCGAAACGGCACCGAAATTTGGCATCGAAACGGCGTCGAAAATCAGATTGCATTTTGGGGGTGTACCCCTTGGCATGCGTATTTCTTTATTAAAAAGGATAGAAATTGCTTGTAATGGGAGACCATTAAATAATTTCGTTTTATATAGTAATTAGTGAGTAATAACTAGTAAATTTAAATCCGAACAACGACACATCCCCATCCCTATTCGAAAAGGTTTAGACTAAACAGATATGTCAATGATAAGAGTCAAAGGACCCGGCCTGTCTTGAATGCCTCAGTTTATGGTCTAAAATGAACACAAAAGTCATATATTAAAAAATTGTATTGTGTGAACGTTGTTAAACTCTCGAGATATGAAAACAACACCTACCTTTAACGAAATACATCGTGTAGTGTATGGCACAGAAAAATGCCAATAAGACCTTCAATTTTTCCATTCTGGCTTCTGAAGCTAACGGTTGCTGTTACGATGTCGTTAATTTGGACTCGACGAACTTTAGAAGAGCGTTGTATCTATATATACAAGCGTATACAGGTATAAATTTAATTGGCAGTGTTCTTCATTTATTGAAATGTGTGATTGTTGTTGCCAATTGCTATTTTATTACGAGATTTTACGAGGTATTGTGCGCAAGTCACGTATGTTCTAAGGACGTCTGGTTTTGGATTGTGATGAAGAGTTGTTGATTAATGATATCTTGTCTTAGTGGTTTGGGTCAGAGTCTTAAATATTATAGTTCGTTTTCCTTATATCTGATTGTCCTCTAATCGTTTTATATTTTTTCTTTTTCAATATTTTTGTATTGGGTGATACGCCTTAGCGTTCCCTCTTTGGCACTCTTGCTTGCATAAATTGAAGTAAGTGCATTTTGTATACGTGAATACGTGCATACATTCCCTAGTGTGTCTACTATGAATACTCAAATACGAATTACAATTTTATGATGTGTTTTCACACCAGTCATAAAGACTCATAAAGTAATGGAAATACGCATGTATCTTTCTGAATGGTGATGCCTTGCACGTCGGATCACCAATATAATCATTCATATTAACTGTGTTTTGAAAAAGAAAGAGTTGCTGGGTACGATTTTAATAATATGTTTCATTATATCAAATAAAGTTAATAGCAACATTTAAATTACAATGTCGTGCAATAATTTTTGTCCTCGGAATATAATGCTCCAAACATTAGTTACTACACCCCCAATCCGCATCATCATCTAACAACGCTGTACAACGTTGTTAACAACGCTGTACAACGTCGTTTGAACAACGTTGACAAGTGTCGTTCGAGTACAGTGTTGTACAACGTTGTTTGACCAACAACGTTGTTCAACGTTGTTTGAACAGTATTGTACAACGTTGTTTCTTGAACGGTACCGTACAGCGCCGTTTTATAGGATCAGGGTAATTTAGGATTACATCCATTTTATAATTATAATTATGCTTTTAAAAGTTTCACTTTTACATCCCAAATCATTAAGCATATTTCCTTTTTAATCTTCTTATAACTTGCACATTAGAATTTATATTAGAGGCTGTCAAAAATCAAATCATGTTTTGACTGGAATCATTTTATTCTACGTTTTACCATTTCTATGACATCTGACAGAGATACAGTATACCTATGTTATTATGAGCTACTGCTACTATTGGTTCGTCTACCATCTCGTTTCAACTATTTTGTTCATACATATGTGTGCATCACAATGCAAACTCTTATGAATCCAATGCTTGTCTTGTCAGGACTCAATATACGTAAACTGTTACTATTCGAGAGAGTTTTAATTTGTTTTTTCTGTAGTGTTATTTTAATAATCAGAACATCTATGAAATGAAAGAAACACACGAGTGTAACATTTTTTAAGCATAAAATATATTAAAATATTGTAAAATACATTTGAAAATGATTATTAACTATATAAAAAAAGTTGCATCAATTGTCCATGTTATTTATACAGCTTCATCAGAGGAAGTCATCGTTTGTTGTGCAGGATTTCCTGAAACGATAAAAAATATAAATTACGTATGTGTTCATTTCATATTATCATCATGAATCTTTCAAAGGTTTGCGCAAGAAGCTATCCGATAAAAAGACGTTCAACGTCTTGATTGGCGTTTAATAAACACCGGTTCTTAAGATTCAAGAAAACTTCATTTAACCTCGAAGCTAATAATATGTGAATAATTTGAAATAACTTTCTTAAAATTAGAATTGGCTTGGTGATGATAAAACCTGCGAATACTAGTATATTCACTGACAACTCACCTGCTCTCTAGCCTTCCTTACTGCCAGTAGATTATCCGACTGTGCTCTTGGATATGTTGGAGTACCTGGAATTTAAACATTGAATCTTCAAAATATACTCAGATAAGATCGCTATCAAAACTTGGAACAATGAATATAGACTTATTTAAGAATAAAGACCGAGATTCTATGATTTATGGCCAGATGGCGCAATGTACTTTGTTCACCTATAATTTATAACGTTATTTTTAATTAATATACTTGCGAACCTTCGGAATGTTTCCTCTGCTTTCCTAAGCAGGTCGATTCACTTCTTAGCCAAAGCCCAAAGGTCATTTTGGTCAGATCTATTGAATCTCTCCCCTAACATGTCTGTTCTGTCTCCCAAGAAGTTCCTCTGAAGATCAACTGCAACATAAAAATAGAATACTAATGTGAAACTCACAAATTATATACCGTACTTATTTACATGGATATAAAAGATCTAGTATGTACGTACGCCAATAACATGCATTGTACTGGATTTTCAATTTCGGTAAAAACGCCGAACATGAGCTCACATCATTGAATCAAATGAGTAAGTGTACGTGTAAGAGCTGACTGGTTTGATTAAAGTAACGTCAGTTATTTGCAGCAAGATAATGCATTATTACAAATAACTTCAAAGTCAAAGGGATTTATTGATAAAGATATAGATAATAAGTGACAAGGACCACTATAAATAGATCAAAATCTTAACTTACGTCTTGTCCTTGATGTTCCGCCATTTTCCACTTCAGTAGTTTTGCGTGTGACGTCATCAGATCATTATAACAATGACGTCATTCGATTGACATATACAAATTGGACAATGACGTTATAAATAGAGCACTCTTGAGGTTCAATTAATTAACCTTGTTAGATTGATTTCTCCTGGATTTCCCTGTTTCAATCATAGGACAATAATTATTGTCGCGTCCGGGCTTTCCCGAATACTCATATTAATTTAGCCTGCATGCCCCATCTTATATGATTTTAAGCAAGTACAGTGTTTAACCCCGGCCCGTGGTTAAAACATTTGATGTCTCAGTCACCGTTTGATATCTCATCTGCTAAATATTATATTTTTTTTACAGGTTCTTTCTATGAATGGAATGCTGCAGACATGCGGGACATGTGAAGTTTGGGGTTATACATACATGGACACATGCAAGGAAGGCACAACGTAAAGAAGGGCGGGGGTCTTCACTCGAGGAAAGGTGTAAAACGCATCATGGGATTCAGCAGAAACAGTTCAGAAATAATTCAGAACTAAGGTTGCATTCATGAATTCAATTGCCGGCTGGTGGTTTAACCTACTTTTTATCAGTGGTAAACTCAATTACTTATAGTGACAGGTACTACTCATGAGTTGGATTCACCTGACGGATGACGGCTGATGGTTTAACCTACTATTTAAGCCATTTTAAACATAAATCAAGGAATCTCCAGTCACTATTCATAATTAAATGAGTTGGACATGAATTAACCTAGTTGGTGAATCCTTCAGCCGTCAGTTGAATTGACGAATGCTACCTCGGCGTCCAACAATGCGTTTATACCTGGATGGTTATACTTCATGTTATGCATGCAGTTTCTTGTTTTATTGTTAACACTTAAAAGTTAATAATTAAGGGTTTAATTTATCTTCCAGGTATTCATAAATAATTGGCGGAGGTCTGTTGACGGTGATGATGACAATTTTGATGACGAGCTCCACATTCATTTCGAATAATTAATCTTTAGATACGCATTTTGCGTACTGTATTTAAGTTTATACATTTTAAATTCATTAGAGCTAGCATTCTGATTTATCAGAGCCATGCACTAGAATGCTTTCAAGAGAGAGTCTTCATATTCCAAAAATAGTAAAGGCTCTTGATTCCACGATGTAAAGCTAGCTTTACATTTCCTTTGCTTTGTTTTATAAGAAGGTTAAGTTACACGTTTTTAAAAAATTTGAAACTTCCTGATTGCATGTGTAGCATGGTCCCTTCTCTTGTCTCATCCCTTTGTTACCAATATAACCCAAAAATGTCGAGAAGGACTAATTCGCCTAGCGTTCTATCATATCCTAATAAATGTACAAAATCGTCCTGCCCTCTTTCATGCTTTTAACAATGCTCAATGACAATGACATATTTGTTTGAAACCGATGCATTCTTTAGCAGAAAGTAAAGAAGCGGGAAGCTATCTTGACTGAACCATCCTTCAATCAGTGTTGAACTGCTTTTTTTAAAGTTTACAATGCCTACATATCTCTAAGACGTTTTAGAAAAACAGGTGTAAACTCAATCGTATTTCGTAAGACGTCTTGAAAATGGTGGTGTAAACTCAACATGATTTTACTAAAACGTTTTAGCTAAGACGTCTTGAAATGTCGCGTGTAGTGTAAATAGGGCTCACTTTAGCAGACGGGGACAAACTCTTGCAAAAATACATGCAGATTATTAAAGCACAATTACTTTTTGTGCTTCTTTAATCAATGACGTTTTCAACGTTTTATTGTGTTGCTTTTTTGTTAAAATATATTTTTAATTTTTGACTTATAGTTGCTTTCCAAAATTCTTGTTTTCATTTCTTGTGACAGTTATTTTTTCATACCTGTGTGCATGGCTTATATATCTGCAGGTAGCATGATGATTGACCGGGAATAATCTGACCAGGAGGATGACGTCTATGATTATAACAGAGGCATATAAAGTCAAATGAAAAATTATTAATATGCCTCTGATTATTATGAGACTGGATATGAAACTGCTCGTATATCCATGGGAGGATGTAATCTGTGCCCTGTCTGACACCCAAACTGTTTCCCAGGGAGTCCATCAGGGATCCGTTTTGGGACCACTTTTATTTATAATTTATGTTAATGACCTGTTCACGGCGTCACAAAGTCTTAAATCTGTTTTATTTGCAGATGACACTAATCTTCTAGCTTCTGACCATAATTTAACTAGACTTGTAAAATAAATACTGTCAATCAGGAACTCATTACTCTTGATGACTGGTTTAAGCAAACCTCCTTTCTTTAAACTATTCAAAAACAAAATTCATCGTCTTCTCCAAAAAATGAAAAAAGGTTTGTCAACAAATTGAAATATTCATAAATGGAAAACAAATTGATAGGGTTCATGAAATAATTTTTTGGGGAGTAACAATTGATGA